TCTATGATAGAGAAAATACTTTGGACGTCGCACTCTTTAAAATTTTGCGCTCTGGTTGTTTTAGTTTCTTTTGCCTACAATACGTGAATTTATTTCAAAGACAGTGACCAAAGGTTTTCGAAAATTACGCTGCTGCGTTCGAGGTAAATAGATGAATGAGATAGATGGCATTCTCAAATATAATGATGAATCCTTAACGATTATTAAAAAGCAAGGGGTTAAATAGGTATTTAATGCAAGTTAGTATGTACATGCCCACTTAAACGAGATAGAGGTCGTGTCATTTCAAAACCAAGATGCGATGAGTTTTTAAGAAGAAAAACAAAAATGAGCGAAAATTGTTTACACCATCTACTGATAACGAACGTCCAGTCGCAGTGAAAGTTGATGATATTGCATTGGTAAAAAAATGTTTCGAACAATACCAAAAGTCGAATGCTCTTCTGAAATTATTTCAATTATTAATGCCTTCAATTACTAGTATCAGACAGAATACACTGCAAATTGCAGTGCTTTTTCGGGGAGGGGGGGATTCCAGAATAGGATGGACTTTCGAGTTCCCTCTGCTAGGTTTACTGGAAAACAAGTGGTTCATTCTCGAGCATAATTCGTCCTTGTTTTCACGAAGTGACGGTAGTGAGGAAATTCGTCACGCAAAGTGAATGCAATTTTTTTTCACTACCGTCACTTCGTGAAAACAGCGACGAATTCATCTGTTCACTCTCTTTCCCTTCTTTAATCTTGTAGTTCCACCTTGCAAGTGGACCATCCGACTTTGAAATTCTTAAAGTTAAGGAGAATTGCAACATCGACACCAAACCCCACTTGGTCGTTCCTTCAGCCGTGTCTGACGACGACGGTTATGATGACGAAAGCTTGAGTTCGATCTCTGACTGGTCTTTGAAATGCGATGTGAGCGAAGATGATGACGATATGTCGAGTTTTACTACCGGATCTGAACTATCGGACTTCACATGGGATCTCTTCGAAGAGACCAACAGAAACACAATGGACTTGTCATTCTCTGAAGTGGATGACGACGGTGTTGATAATTATATCATCACCGAAATGCTCCTTGAGCAGTCGCTTTACGAAACTATATAATTTGTTTGTCATCCCTGAATTCAAAAATAAAAAGTGTGTTGAGAATGACAAAAAAAAGCTCGTATGTTTGTGCATTTATTTTCTTGAATTTGTGTAGTTTCTTAAGTGTGAGAGAAGGCTGTTTTGTTCTCCACCCTTGAAAAGAGCATGAATAAAACACCAAAGTTCGGCACGACGATAATTATGAAACACAATGACATTGTGACGGTAAAGGGGTACTATAGAATAGATATTGACACCGAGTAAAGGGGGGAGGGGGAGGGGGGAGGGGGTCGGGGGAGTAGTAAGCACATTTTTTGGGGGGGGTCCTTGAAAATTTAAAAATTTGCACCCCCCCCCCCCCCCCCCGCCACTGGCTACGCCCCGTTTACCCAACTCCAGTTCGTGACCTGCATGCCAGTGGCACAAATAAGATATCAAAATATGCTCATGAACAAAGTTTTCTTCATAAAAAACGAATATAATTTGAGCAAAATAGAAACACACAATTAATGAGGATAAAGAAGTAATAGAACATTCAAAGTCTTGATAACAAAATATATGAATAATTTCACAAAAAGGAATAATCATAAATTATGGATTTTGAACAAGTTATTTGTATGGTTTTCCTAAAAAACATAAAAGTAAACGTTTTAAAACAGAAAAGATTTTACATGCAATGTGGTTCTGTTGTAGACTAACATGAGAACAATAGTTTGTAGGAGCAGTACGTGCTACTGATACATGAGATCAATAGTTTGTAGGAGCAGTACGTGCTACTGATACATGAGAACAATAGTTTGTAGGAGCAGTACGTGCTACTGATACATGAGAACAATAGTTTGTAGGAGCAGTACGTGCTACTGATACATGAGAACAATAGTTTGTAGGAGCAGTACGTGCTACTGATACATGAGAACAATAGTTTGTAGGAGCAGTACGTGCTACTGATACATGAGAACAATAGTTTGTAGGAGCAGTACGTGCTACTGATACATGAGAACAATAGTTTGTAGGAGCAGTACGTGCTACTGATACATGAGATCAATAGTTTGTAGGAGCAGTACGTGCTACTGATACATGAGATCAATAGTTTGTAGGAGCAGTACGTGCTACTGATACATGAGATCAATAGTTTGTAGGAGCAGTACGTGCTACTGATACATGAGAACAATAGTTTGTAGGAGCAGTACGTGCTACTGATACATGAGAACAATAGTTTGTAGGAGCAGTTCGTGCTACTGATACATGAGAACAATAGTTTGTAGGAGCAGTACGTGCTACTGATACATGAGAACAATAGTTTGTAGGAGCAGTACGTGCTACTGATACATGAGATCAATAGTTTGTAGGAGCAGTTCGTGCTACTGATACATGAGAACAATAGTTTGTAGGAGCAGTACGTGCTACTGATACATGAGATCAATAGTTTGTAGGAGCAGTACGTGCTACTGATACATGAGATCAATAGTTTGTAGGAGCAGTACGTGCTACTGATACATGAGATCAATAGTTTGTAGGAGCAGTTCGTGCTACTGATACATGAGATCAATAGTTTGTAGGAGCAGTTCGTGCTACTGATACATGAGATCAATAGTTTGTAGGAGCAGTTCGTGCTACTGATACATGAGATCAATAGTTTGTAGGAGCAGTACGTGCTACTGATACATGAGAACAATAGTTTGTAGGAGCAGTTCGTGCTACTGATACATGAGATCAATAGTTTGTAGGAGCAGTTCGTGCTACTGATCATTTTATTAACCAATCAAATGAACAGTAATGAGCACGAAAATGGCCCCAACATTCAAATATATGTTCTTTGGGTTTCTAGAAAAGCAACTTTACGAAAAGGTAAATAAACATGATTTGAAAAAAAAGCCAGATCATATGTGGAGAAACATTTGCTAAGATACATCGATGATAGTTTTATAATATGTATGGAGACATCAAAGCACATGTATTTTGCGCTATTCTGCAGAATCAACATAAAGATATTCAAAATGAAGGTGTCGGGAGAAAAGATATCGTTCCTGGATATAATCGTAATAAACATAAATTGGAGACGGATGTACATTAAAGTAATTGACATTCTTCAATATTTGCATTTTGACTCCGGTCATCCACAACACACATAAACAAATAAAGCATACAAACTGACTTAAAACAAATTATATATATATATATATATATACATATATATCAAATATTATTATATTAAATACAATCTTATCAGAGTAGGTATACATAAAGGACCCAATATACACTGTTGGTCATAATGGTGGAATATTTATTTTTACCCCAGTTTAGGGAAGGATTTTTTTTTTTTTTAATTTCTAATAGATCTAGATAATGGCATACTTTCTCAGATTTTATTGAATATTAATTTGCGAGTGTTTATTTTGCGTGACTGCTAAATCATGTGTGCTACTATGCTAATCAGCTAGGGAACCTACGTCCTTAAATCATAATTGACAGTAATGAGGATTAATGCCTCACAAAAGGGCACTAATATAGCTGATTGGCACGATTTTTATCCTGGGGCCTCACAGTAACGAGGCCATTGCTTAGCCCCTGAATCATGACTGTACGCGGCCGCCCCCACAAATCCCCCAAAACGGAGAAAAATGCAATAAATTGTCAAAAATTCATTGCATTTCCCCCCGGCCCCCAACAGGAAAAATTCCTCTGTGTGGCCATGCCTTGAACCATAATGCATGGCCCTACAGAGAAATTTTTCCTGTTTGGGGCCGGGGGAAAATGCAATGAATTTTTGACAATTTATTGCATTTTCTTCGTTTTGGGGGATTTGTGGAAGGGGCCGCGTACCCTAGCAAACACTGCGTACAGTCATGATTCAGGGGCTAAGCAATGGCCTCGTTACTGTGAGGCCCCAGGATAAAAATCGTGTCGATCAGCTATATATTAGTCCCCTTTTGTGGGGCATTAATCCTCATTACTGTAAATTATGACTTAAGGACGTAGGTCACTCATCTGATTAGCATAGTAGCACACATATGATTAAGCAGTCACGCAAAACAAACACTCACAAATCAATATTCAATAAAATCTGAGAATGTATGCCATTATCTAGATCTATTAGAAATATTTTTTTTTTTTAATCCTTCCCTAAACTGGGGGAAAAATAAATATTCCACCATTATGACCAACAGTGTAGAATAAAATATTTAAAGACAATTCAAGACAATACAAGAAGAAATACATTTTGTATGCATCTATACATACAATCCAAATAATAAGAATTTTTCAAAAACTATCAAACAAAAATTGCTTCTCATCTTTAAAAAATATTTGGGAAAACACAGTATACATTCCAAGTAGAAGACAGGCGCCAAATATAAAAAGTTGACCTCAGCCTCGTTGCAACGAAGACAAGGGGGAACTCAATAAGGTTTTGATAATAGGTGTAAAACATGCCCATATAATATGTTACCACTGATAAAATCATTTTTAACTATAATGAGAACAAAAAACATTCAAATTAAAAGATACCTTTTCATGCGCAAAACAATAATTCGGAGAGACAAGAGATGTTTTTAGGAATAGAATAACAACCCATTGTCAACACATAAGAGATAACAAAATATTCAAATCCTTAATTTTTGATAAACGTATTTGGAGATGTGCAAAAGGAATAAATGCATAATTTTATGTTATAACTTATTATAAAATGAGAACAGAAAATAAAACTGAACGTAAGACAAAAGAAAAATATTTTAGAACCTTTTCAGCAAGAGCTGAACAATCCTTAATTCATCATTGAGAACAATAAGGTTATTATATGCAGGTGAATATGCATGCATAATGTCTTAATGATATAACCAGTTTTGCTGATAGAATAGAATACACGTCACATGTATAATGAAGTGCAAATTGAAACTGAGATTGACAGGACATGATTTTGTCAATGATGTTACAGTAAAATAGGATAATTCCATTGCCAGGCAAAGCGCCATTTTAGCGAAATGCGCTTGAACGCATCGTTCGTTAATTGCACCTGTTTGTAATATGACATTTTTAATTTACTATCTAAAAACGTAACTTGAAATAGCGAAGAATTGAAATCTCAAGGAATTTTATTCCAACTCCTTTTTTTCAATTGGTATATTACCGTGAAGAATTATTTTCAAAATTGAAATTTGTTAAATTATTTATATATATAATGATTAAAACAAATTAAAATAAAAATCCACGACAGTGCACTTCATACACATGTATTTTAAAGAATCTTTAAAATACATGTGTATACATATTTTTTTTTTTTTTTTTTTGGGGGGGGGACAGATCTATAGTAATATTACGATCACTATCTACTTGAGTCGAATTGACAACTCGGTCATAACGCTGAGAAACAATAGATTAGAATGGCAAAAAGCAACACTGCCTCCCTCCACCAAAAAAAAAATACAAGAAAAACTAGTTAAGAAAGAAGAAAAAGAGGAGAAAAATGAAAGAGGGACAAAGATGAAGAAAAGAAGATTAAGAACAACAAGAAATAGTAGAAGAACAAGAATCTTTGCATTTATGTTTACTCAAAGTACAGTCACTTAACAAAGTACAAACATTTTAATTGGCCAGGCAACTGAATTCAATGAAAGTAAGATAATTATTTTTTCTACACAAAATGTAGCTTGAGTAAGGAATCATATTTCATTACAACGAATTATAAAAACCCTTTTGTCTCGACAGCAAATAAATAAATGCAAAATCAAAAGATGAAAAGATCAGAATATTAAAACGTCATAAAAATGAAATAATTTGTTTATGAAATTGTGTTGCATCATAAATAAAATTAAAATAAAAAAACATTGGCTGTATGTACCCGAATTCACTTTTGTCTCTTTTTATCATTATTTTTGTCGTTGAAACACATAGACACATTACAACACACCTAGAATATAAGCAAACCAAAACTTCGACAACATATGTCAACCTATTTGCAATATAAGTTTGTTTATCAAAGAAAGGCTACTCGACCTCTTTCACAGTAATAAACCGGTTTACTAACATATTCAAATGTATGGATGTTTCTTTCCTGGTAACGATGTATTCAATTAAACTGTTATTGATGAATGAACTACACTACTCGGAATCCAGTCTGCATACATTACTTGTTGCTATGTACGGTAAGGTAAGCCTCGTCAAGAACAACCCTTCTTTAAACAGTATGCATACAATTTAAATATGTTAGTAAGCCGGTCTATTGAAACATGATGTACAATAAGAGCTGAGTTGGAGCTGGAGGTGTCACTTAGGCTCAATAGATATAGAATCCTTCTTCGTAACTCAAATTTATTGGCTCGACACCGATCTACATTTGCCACACTTGATCCAGAAGAGATAAACGTAGGGTGTTGTATTGCCGATACATATTCAAGGAACTCTTACATACCTACCCCGGGTATAGGAAGGAATTCTTTGAATTTGTGTAGAAAAGACAAAAATAGGATATAATTACACTTATTTTGTTCTCCCTACATGACAGTTTTATTGAGAGCAATTCGTTAACACAGACGTTAGCTTTTGAGCTTGTAAAATCACGAAAGCACACCAGTGGGCGTGTGGCAATTCAACTATTAGGAGACTTGATACTGTCTTCATTAGTTCATCCCCTATTGTTGATCTCCTATTAGCTGAACCAAATCACTCTTCTTCCTATATCTCTGTCCATTCTGAACTGGTGCGTCGCCTTCTGTTTCCAAGTCTTTGATGTTGTCCATGAAAGTAGCCATGAAATCACTGTGAATACTTTCCTTTGTTTCAGAGTGAGGAATAGAGAGTGTTTGTAGCAGGACCGTGTCAGAATTCATGAGAAATGCACGGACAATTTCATCATTTGAGTTCTGAAAGAGAAATCAACATACAAGCAATAGCATGAATGGATTAGCGCAAACCTGTCGTCTGGTGTGACGACGTATTGATACTGCTTGTTCGGAATATGCTGTACGCCATGAAATTCACCGGGGCAGATTAGGTGCCTTTAGTATTGTTCAGACGGGATTTTGCCACGGTCGGCGTAAGTTAATCCCTGCAGCAGTAAATACTTCATGTATATTTCACTTACACCAATAGTTGTCCACACGCTCTTACTCGGATCAACTTGACACGAGTATGTTCACACGACCTTCCACCGACCAGCGTAACTTACGCAGAGCCGACCAAGTGAAGTTGGCCAAGCTCTGTGAAAAGATGGCTCGTGAAAGGTCACAAAAGGTCACAGATACTCCCGGGCATCCACACCGTCAACTTACGCTACCCTCTAGTCGTGTTAGCAAGTTACTCCTGGAAAAATACAGGACTAAATAGGTCGGTGTAAAGGTAGGCGTAGCCAACACGATCATCGTTCAGACGGTCAGTACTCCCCCCCCCCCCCCATCCCCCCACTCCAGGAACGGAGGGATCGCATTCATGTTCCCAAAACATCCGGTAAAGGGGTACTTTTCACGCAACCGAAGTCCGGCTCGTAATACACACAAAGATCGGCCCGTATTGACTTTACACGCCGAACTTAGAGGGGGGGGGGGGCGCTTTCAAAGGGAGGGAACATGCATATGCGTACCCTAAATAACACTGAGTGGGGGGGGGGGGTCATTAGTCCGACTTTTACACCTACCCCGACTAGCTCCAGGTTAACTTGCCTCCGTCTGAACAAGACTAATGAATGTTACTGGACAATAACTGGTTTAGCATGAGTCTGCTAGCGCTCCATTCTTGAATTTCATTTGAATCTGGTCATTAAAGGGTTTGAGGTAAAGTGAGGAAAAACAAAAACAACGCTTACAATTTTGTCGGATTGGCGTAATATAGCTAAAATGTAAGCCAGCAAAGTCTGGGTGCATTATTCCCTCATATCAAAGTATAGGCCTACGAAAAAACAACGTAAAGAACATTTTTGTCCTAATTCTTTACGTCCAAAGCATTATTTTCTCTGCATATTATACAAAACATCGATAGCTTTAGGTTTTAAGAATTAGGTTTCATATAACTTGATTAGATTTTGAGATGGAGGATTATAAAAACTCACCAACTGAAGAGCAATCTGATCTTCAGTAACCTTGAATTTGGTAATCGATATCGATTTGAGGTAGGAAATCGCCTTGCGCACATCACTCAAGATGAGTGAAGAGTCAACAACAGAGGGCGGTTGTCCTTTATCTTCGATGTATTTGGATAGTGGTACGACAGTCATATTGATGGTGGGAGCGTTGTAAGGTGTGAGTATACACTGACAAGTAAGGTGAGTGTACTTCTCCTGAAGAGCACGAGGAATCTGCCTTCTTTCCGGCAAAACGGCGACAGCGGCAGAAACAGATGATAATTCTGCAAAGAGTAAATACCCAAAATTCTCCATGAATATTATCCAACATTCGGAACAATTCCGAGTTTAATATTTCTCTATGGCTATCCAGATATATAGAGGCAAAACTGTTCATACAACAATCTTAATTGCTGGTTTCCGTAGCTACACAAGAACTTATTTAATCTTTTTTTGTAACTTTATTGATAACAAGTATAAGGCCACGATCAATACACTCGTAAACCCTAGCTTCTTTTTGTTACCAATATCTAGCCAATTCCGTTAGAACATTACAAATGATGCAGCTCGTCAACATTAGGTATGAGATGATAGATCCTGATATAAATACAGTTTATATTTGATCCATAATCACTTCTAAAATTAGAGTGAACTTACGAGTTCCATCAGATTCTCTCAGAGACTTCCGTTTCTGCTTGGCCTTACGATGTTGCCAAATGGTGGAGATCGTATAGAGATACGGATTAAGAGATGAGTTGAGTGGGAGAATAAAGACGGCTGTCCATGCGTATACGTCTGCAGGTATCTCGACGGCTCCAGTAGTTGTTAGTAATCCCATGATGATGATCGGCATCCAACATATAAAGTCTGTACCCACGATCATCGCCATTCGCGTTGCCAATTTGACCTGCACATTTGCGCCGTTTCTGCAGAACAATCAAAGTTCAAAGGGGGAGGGGAGTGGGTATTAAATAAGGCCTTCAGACTGGTTAACATTTAAACATTATTGAGATGTACCGTTACCATCTAAACATATTACAACCACTTTTAGGTGATAGTGATATTCAAATCTAGCTTCTTCTTCTTCTTCTCCAGTCACTACGCCACAGTGTTCACTCTTAATTAGATTGTCCCAATCCAGCGTTAAAAGCCATTAAAAGACTTTCTTGTCAATCCAATTAATGGGCCAACCATATCTTTCCATCCTACTTCCACTTTAGATTAATTATTTGCAGTGAACAGTGGTAAAATTCTTAGACTCTATTGTTATTTAAAATAATTGGGCATCGCTACACGCTTTTGAGCTCAATTTAACAATGTATATGTACACCAAAAAAATTACATTTCCCGAGTGTGGTTGGCCAATGAGACAGCAGACCGAGCTTGGATCTCTCAAGTACAACACTTATGTTTAGGTAATTCATTTGACATTAATAGCATTTTGCCTGTTTATTTCATACTTTGCTATGAACCCTTGTAATCTTTCTATAATAAATTGTATAAATTAGATTTTAACTCACTTGACGTGCCTCCCTCCATCTTTAGCATTTGCAAAATTCCTGGCCGATCTATGAACAGTGACAAAAATGGCTACGTAACAGAAAGCAGTCACTATAAAACAAACCAAGTTCAGTCCCAAAAATAAAGCAAGCGAATATTCCCATCCCGGTGGTCTATCAGTCGATAGAGGAAGCCCCAGGCATACGCTTGATCTGCCGTAGAACTGACCAAAGTATTCCAGCGAAAAGACTGGCACAATCGCTAAGACTAGAGCAGTAGCCCACACAACAGCAAGCCACACTGTTGAGGACTTATTTGAAAGTTGTACATGGTGATGCTGTGCGAACACGATGCAGAGGATTCGATCTATACTGATGAGCATGACGATAAAGACAGACACTTCGCTAGACAATGCAGACATGAAACCAGCGACACGACACACCACGCTTCCCCGCCATGTGTCTTCATGTATCGCGTAATCTCCCTTGTAGTACTGATCAGCTATGGCAATGATCAACATGTAGATACCCATCAATAGATCGGATACAGCTAAGTGAGTAATCAATTTGGCCTGGATTCGTGTAGATGTGACCACTTTCCTACGGAACACTCGTAGTCCGATAGTGCATAGATTGCCTGCCAGGGCACTGATACCTAGGATCCACATGAAGACGCGAAGTGTATTGTCTTTGAGGAGATCATCACAAGATGAGAACTGATTGATTGGTGCGAAACATCCTGTAGTAGCAAACTCATCGGCGGGATTTAAATCCAGCATGCAGCAAAACGCGAAGCTGTCTGCATACCTGTTGAAAGAAAATGCATCAAGTTATGATGATAATAATAATAAGCATTTCTATAGCGCCGTCTATCTAGATAATTCTATGCCAATGCGCATTTATTATTACTCCGGCTTTAGCCCAGCTGCCCGTTTATACAGCGCTCCAGCATTTCAAGGAATTCATTCCTGCCAGGTACCCATTTACATCACCTGGGTTGAGTGTGGCAAATGACATTAATGCCGCGGCGGGACTCGAATCGCGGACCTTGTGATCGACAGTCCGGCGACGTATCCACTCGACCACGACACCTCTGATCGAGCTTATTCTTAAAGTAGGACCAAGTACCAATTCATAAAGTCCTTTTCGTATGGTAGGGCACCCTCTGCCCCCATCTGATTAAAAAATAATGTTCAGCTAGATTCAGTTAAAACAGTCAAATGATGGCATGAAAGGTAATTGAAATCGTATCATGGTTTTGGAAAACATAAAGAATGTGACCACAATGGCTCACATGGATGCAATCTTATGCCTCAATCACACCTATGCGTATTTGGCTTGCGTATTGCTGCGTTCTTATGGCAAGCCGCAAACATTTATTTCTATTTCTTGATATCAAGCAATGATTTTCTGTTGTAAAGCAATGGTAATTCTTGATATTAAGAATTCTATTTTTGATATCAAGAATTCTATTTTTGATATCAAGAATTCAATTCCTGATATCAAGAAATAGGAACAAATGTTAAAATGGCTTGCCATATATACGCAACAATACGCAAGCCAAATACGCAAATGTGTGACTGAGGCACTAGTGAAGAACTGAATAACATGAAGAGTGTAACCATCGATTGTCGCATAGATACTGTGCGAAGACAGAATAATGACGAAGTGCACATTGGGCCATTTTGTTCTTCCGACAAGGATCAATCCATTTAGGAATCGTTTACAGTTGAAATCGAGCAAAGCTAATTTGGTAACTAGTTCTACTTAGAATTTTAGTTGGAAGCCATTTATGATGACATGTCCTCTGATGATACACCTCATTAATATTGAACACGCTGATGCTTTCATTAAATGCTTATTGACGACATTAAAGTGTATGGTATAACAGCATTAAGTATAGAACTATAGACAATATGGCTTTAAACCTTAATGGCAAAGAACCAATGAACCCTGTACTCACACTGTGTGAAGAGACGGTATTTGCTGCAAGGCTTTTCGAATAGCTTCATTACTAGGTATAGACGATTCGCGTATGTCCCTGAAAGGATTCAAATGAAAATTATCAGAGGAAAGTATGAATTCTCAAGTAAGGATGATCGAATGCCTAAGTAAGGATAAATCTTTGAAAGACTATACCAACCGTTCAATACCTCAATGAAAACATATGCAACCAAGGTATTACAAATTCATGGCTTAATAGCTAAAATTCATAATGCTGAGCATTTTCCAAAAATATAATCGAAATACTTGAATATACCTGAATATTTGAAAATATTCTAGACAATACTAAGCATTCAAGCGGGGTATGATTGAGACCATACGTTATGAAAAATCATTCAAAAGGTTAAGAGGAAATAAATAAACACTTCTCTTGCTTTGGTCGCCTCTCTGCACGGTTGCCCGTTTGCAACACTTGCAATTTTGCACAAAACAATAGGCACCAAATTGAAAGAACTGCTTTCTGCAACACAACGGCTTTGCAGAATTAACCATTTCTGGTCTGGATTAGCTCTTTTGCAACCCTGGCACAGTTTTTAATCTTGCACCCGAAACAATTAAAAACTCATTAAGCCTTTGGTATATCTATCCCAGGATAAATACAATGTGCCACAGTGACAATATTTGTGTGCAATGTAAAGATAAAAAACAACGTTCTTAAATTGAGTTGACGCCTTAGGAAACACTTCCATAAAAATCAAATTACAGACGTACAAACTGTGGAATCAGTCCACTGTATTTGTGACGTTATTGTAAACTTAATTTAACGTTGACTCTGCAGTTTATATATGAATAAGTTGAAATATTAAGATAACGTAAAATAATACCAGGAATAAAATTAATTAATTAATTTATAACATGGATCTGTTAGGGTTATAACTACAGGCTTTACCATGTATGTAACTATACAAAATAAACGTTACAGCCTTTTGAAAAAAAGACATGGCGATTAGTTCGACAAGATCATAACCTACTGCCTTGAACTTACAATACCCGTAGCTTGGTCAAATTCGTGAAAGCACCTAGCTCGATCGTCTCAATTGGATTTTGACAAAGAGAGCTGATTAACAAAAGGAAAAAGAGAAATGTTTATCCAACATATTTGGTGCATGATAGGCAAGTAGGACTCATCTTATTCAGGGTTGGTATATACCAGTGGTGTATAGCGTGGCTCATGGGAAGGGGGAGGGGGGGATTGGTCTTAAGTTGCTGATAAAAAACAAGGCCTCGGAGTTACGAAATTTGTCTCCCCTCTTTCTTTCTCTCTTTCAATCTTATTGCCTGTTTTCAATTTTGACCTTTTCACCATGGTGGTGGTGGTGGGTGGTGGTGGGGGTGCGCCACTGCACTCTGCCGAAGCAATGTCACCAGAATGGTTAATACTGTATTTGAAATAATACTGATACAGCCTTTAATGATCAGAGTGGGATTATTATCGTTATTTAAACAAAATGCCATAGAATTTGTTCAAACTAAAGCTTGATAATTTACAATGATTTAGTCATGATTTCGCCTAGAAAATGGGCGTGTCTCTTATCTACACAACTTAAATACGAATCAAGGCTTTGTTCAACAGAAGTATTAATGTTGATTTTCACCGCAAAAATGCTTGTAGTTTGAAAGACTAGGGTGAAACGCAATGTATAATTCAATTCAATTCAAGGTTTATTTCATCATTCAAACATGCAGTGACAGAGAAATGTGCATGGTTGGCTGCCCCAGGGCTGAAATGAACATGTTACATTATATACCAATTCATGATGGGTTGAGTCTTTATTTCATAAAAGGAAAAATATGGAACCTCTGATGACAAGTGGAAGCAAGTGAAGTGAGAGTTGGGGGGGGGGGCTTGTTTGAATATTTCTGGAAAAGTTGGTCCGAGAATCCATTAGAACCAATCAATATGGGAGTCCCATTATAGACCTTTTTATGTCAACTACAGACATACTCACAGATAGTACAGATCTTGATTTTGAGTGAAGATTGAGGCAGGAATCGTCTTTATATCAGTATCTACCAGCTCTCTAAAATAACAAGAGAAAATCATAATGTACAATAATTGGCATTAAGGTTCTGGTCATGCGATTACATTGTGAAAGAAACGTTGTGGAATCGATCAAAAAAGGTTGATCATCTAGCATATAAGTATTGGTGTGTACTGCAAGGTTCTGGAATCATCAAAATGATAAGAAATTCGGCCCAGTCTTGGTAAAGTTCCAACCACTGTACACAGAAAGATGTATATGGGACTACGCTTTACCTATCCAGTCCGGATAAATATTATAATGTACCAAATATATCAATTAGTAGGCGGTTTCTTGGCAAAATTTACATCATCATGTATTAGTCAAAAATATTCTTTCACATGATTGGTAATAAGAGCTTAAATTTCATTTTTTGAGAGGGGCGTTTCCAAAACTGGTCTATACCTTTAAAAGTGTCACATTAAACAGTCGCAATGTCGTATTTGATGCAAAATTATCATTCACGTAACGTAAAATATACAAATTGCTCGTAAACATTTTGCATATCTCAAACATTAAGTAAAAAAGAGAAGAAAAAGAGACCTTATCAATTTACCATATGGGGTTTCATGCTGTACTATATTTTACAATATCTGTTCAAAATATCTCTTCTGTATAAATATCGAGAAAGATTAAATGTATCCTAACTACAGATGCTCAAATAAGTCGAGAGGGTAGTGTAGTTATACGCGTACGCTCTTTCAATTTCGTGATATGAAACAACTTCACCTTAATTCTTACAATACAGATATCAAACCAGGGCCCCGTCTTACAAAGAGTTGATATTAATCGCAACTTATTGGCGATCAATATCGATCCCAACCATAGTTACTATGTACATAAGGGATAGGGGAATGCAAACTTGTGATTGATAAGAGGTATTACGATTGATTTGAATCAATCACAACTCTTTATAAGACGGGGCCCTGAACAATAATAGATTAAATGCTGCATCTGTTGTATGCAACCAATATGATGAGGATAATTATAGAAACATAAGAGAGTTCAAACAAATAAAAATAAAAATGAATGATATATTTATATTGCAATAATGTGTATTAATTTGAAATATCATATTTCGTCTTCTGTAATGAAAGGGTAAGCTAAGTAGAACTTAAATATTGGAATTTAAAAGGGAGCATATTACTTACAGCTCAGCTAGGAATGGATAGTCGGAGGGCCTAAAGGGAGTATAGTATGTCACGTGATCTTCGTCTTGATCACCTGATATGGGAATGATTTGATCTGTTGTAGCATCGTTTGATGTGAGGATGAGAGGTGCTGCAGTAATGACACTGTAAAAAATAAAACCATATGAATGAGAATAAAAAATGAATGTCAATACCAATATAAAAACATCAAATACAATTTCCTTTGGATAGACAGTGAACCATGTAATACAGCCTTTTACGGTTACAAGAGTGCGCATGCGCCGAAATGGGCGCCATTTTAAATTGCGAGTAAATATTGGGAGTAACTTTTGATTGAATATGACGCGTGTATAGACGTGAATATTTAAAGAATTTTGTATTTACGTCGATATTCTTTTGATGATTAACTTTCTAGTTGCACCATTTGTAGTCTAGGGTTTCGCTGTTCATTTGTTATTAATTGATTTAAATGAATTTGCGTAGAACATGAATATCATGAATCGAATATGATATTCCTAATTATTTGTTAAATGTTTGCGAATTTTGGACACCCCATCATACTTACATCTTCTTCGCTGTCACTGAGAAGATGAAAGAAGGGTTTTCTTCAATGTCTGGGAGGCCGCATAAAAAGACCAGTCCAGTACAGTTACAACCACGCGGACATGATACACCTGCAAAATGAATAATAGTCTTATAGTTCCCCTGCCCATATACTTCACACCTAAGGCTTTAGGCTTACTTACAATCTGCCGAAAAGGGTCTAGGAATCTTAATGTCGAGATAAGATTTCATCAAAATTGTAAGTAAAAAGTGACACCAACTAATTCCCTACATTTGCCACACTCAACCCAGGTGATGTAAATGGGTACCTGGCAGGAATTAATTCATTGGAATACTAGAGCGCCATGATTGGCAGCACAGCTAAAGCCGGGGTAATAATCTCTAAGTTTGGAAGCGCTTAGAGACTTAATTGTAATTCACGCTATATAAAAGTTGAGTATTGTTACTATTATTATTATTTGCTTTGTAAATTAAGCATTTTTTCATATTTTGATGGATCGCTTTTTTTGATAAACCAGCTGTAAAACCCCCGTGCGCGAATTAAGGTATTGTTTTTGACTTTTTCGTCAGTTGCAGTGCATGCCGATCCGACATCGAATTGTGAGGTCATGATATCTCCGTAATTCTTTGACGATTCATTTTCTAGTTGAATCAATTTGTCATCAAAAGCTTTGCCGTCCATCTGGTAATAAATTGAACTTTAATAAATTTGTGAAGAATATGAAAAATCATGGATCGAATATCACATTTCCTAATATTTGCAAACATCTCCGCGAATTTTGGTCACCCCATCATACTGTACTGCCCTTGAAATAATATTAAAGAAACATTCCAATCCCTTGGTGTGAGTTTAGCCTCCATTTTAAGGAGGTTCAATCATTCAAGGAATTCCTTTCTACCGGTGACCCCTTTTGTTCACCTGGATGAAGAGTGGCAGATATAGATTTATGTCTTGCCGAATATAATGGCAGGGAAAATTAACCAAATACCACGTGATCTATATAGTCAACTAAGCCCGATGAACGTGCACCAATGTAAATGCAGGGTGGAAGGGTTATTATACTTCAGCATTTTTTTAAATCCCTTACCGGGTACTTTGTTTGATAATCACGATTGTAATTTAGAATTAATATCTATTTCATTATCAAAGTATCTCCTCCCAGCTCGGCGGTTAATTGCATCATTTTGTTTTTTGTTCGCACATCTCTGTTTTCTGCCATTCTAGTACACTCTTGCAGAGACTTTCCATTTCATGTCTTAATGTTCCCCTCCCAATTAGTTTTTGGTTTTCCTCTAGGTCTGATACCTCCTACTTTTCCTTCCAATCGATCTTTGTCTTTTAGTACGGCCATTCGCCTTTCTTTCTTTAACCATTCTTATCGGGATTATTTGTTCTACGAACAGGCGCGTATGCAGGGGGGGGGGGGGGAGGGGGGAGGGGGGGGGGTTGAACCCCCTTTAACTTTTTTATGTGTGTGTTTTAGAGGAACCCCCCCCCCCCTTGTTTTGGTTTTTTTTAATTTTAAAACGAATAATACAATGTAGGAAATCACTGCAGCAAAATATTAAGAACTACCGCAGAATTGTTCGTCATCAGCCTCGGGACAGTGACGAATTCCATCGCAGACCTCCACCAATGGTATACAGGTGCTGCTGCTTCTGCAACTATAGGTCCCCGGTGGGCATACAAAACGATCTGCAGAAGAAAGTCCATAATTTAACCAGATTAGTTATTTGTAAGAGCTTTGATATATTTAAGATGGTATTAACAAGTCAATTGCTCATTCTTGCCATCGCAAATCTAATTACTTGACAGATGGTTGGTGACAGTACGAAGGAACAGGACACTGACTCCTTATGGAGTTTCGTTCTGCACAGTGTTGCGATGATGGTTTATAAGACGGTTTTTTAAACAGATTTAGTATACATTTCCCATTGGGTGAGGAGGCAGTAAAATCCATTAGTCGTAAGCGTTGCTATGTTTTATCCAAATTTTATGGCAATCGGCATCTTCGTGAAGAATGGGTCCACTCCTCGCTAAAACTTCAGCCGCGTAAGTTTGCACTGCCTATCCTTCACCATGGTCAATGATCTCCACAGTGCAGATAGAACTTTAAAAAACCTCGTACAAGAAAATACTCGGAAAACAGCAAAAGGCGAACTGTAAACATTATTCCCTCATCGTTCAATGCGCATGCCGGCAGCGTGTACAAAAGGCTTTGGGAACATTTTCAAAAGCCAACCTGCTGTTTATATATATATATATTAAAATAATAGTGAGGATATATTTATTTCTTATGTTCGCCATCTGCAAAATATGTTAACATGACCGAACCTTTTTCAACAAATATTTAATGCTTTTAGTAAATACTGCCTTGCATGAGACGCTGAGGGCTCTATATTTACTTCGCTGTTATCCACCCGTAATATTTAAATTATTAATTTCAGATGAGATATTGTCTCATGGTTACATTATTTCCCTATGCATTCACACATTTCTAATATCTGAGATTACATTATAGATAAAGCACACTTTGAGTTGAAGCTCTCATAAATATATGAATGATATGAAACCATTCATAAAATGATGATTTACGCAATATGCACACATATATATATATATATCATGAGAATATAGCTGATACAGAGAGTGTATTTTAGTAAATAAGGTCTTCCAATCAAAATACAAGGGCAACTAAAAACTCACCGCATTCCAGCTCATCTTCTCCATTCGCACAGTCCCATACATCATTACAACGGAACCTCAACGGTATGCAGTAGGAACCAGGACACTTAATAGAATAGTCCGGACATTGGAAGTCCCCTGTATTAAAAGGCATATGTTGGCATGTTCTTATTGACTTGATTCAATGATTTCTTTTTCATGGATGAAAAGTTTATTATCACTTCTAAAATCTCATTAAAGTTAGAGGAGATAAAAATGAGCTTTATAATGGCTGTGGTAGGCCTATTACTTGTTGAAATGATTGTGATAGAATCCCATGTAATATACCAACTATCTAATATTCTTCAAGATATTATTGTAAGGATAGACGGTGATTGAAAAGGATTTATAAAAGTCATCGAAAGGAGGCCAGTTGGCTCGATCAGTAAAGCGCCTGCCTGTCGAACCAAAGATCATGGGTTCAAATCCAATCCAGGCGGATGATTGAAGCATGAGTTGTGTTCCAACGTTCCCCTCCCCCGTTACAGTGGAAACACTCGGATAGGATGTTAAATGGAGGCCCCTGTAGAGGAAAGTCACTACCTTTGCACGCTAAGAACCCACTGCACTGTATGTAAAAGAGTAGGGGAACCCCGGCGTAGTGGTCCACCTGCACACCCCATTCAGTTTTATGCCGGGAGGAGAGACCCAAGGGTTACAGTGGTTCATTCGCGTTTCGCCTCACAGGCACAGACGATGCCAAATGAAAAGATTCTAAATTGTTATACCGTCTTCTGAGAACTACAAGGGCGTTTAACTCATCGAACTTTTAATTGTTATAATGTTTTGACGATATTCTGATTAAGGGCAATACAACAATATCAGAGGTGTCTATAGGTAGAGTGGTTCATTCACTTGACTCTCAATACAAGGGTTGATGGTTCGAATCCCAGGCCAGCACTATCCTCCTTTTTGCAAGAAGTCTTATTTACCACCCTCCATCCAAAATAATCACCTGGTAATTGTTGGAGTAATAATAATTGAAGGGGCTGCAGGAAGAGCTGGGTCAAACTTAACTCTAAGTTGGACTTAAAAAAATATGGAAAACTGTTAGCATCTTTGAAAATATTTTGTAAAGGTTATTTTAAAAGGCATAAAATGTTGATTCAAATCATTCATATTTTCTATTATCAAAGAGATTTCTTGTTCTTGTTGTGGAATCTATGAAAAGTCTAAAATACATGTATTTTTGCTTTTGAATATATTGTTTTAAGGCTACAAATGGCTCTCCATAAATTTTAAGTCCAAGTTCGAATTAGGATCTTTGTAAAACACCCCCTGTTCTCATCTGTTATAACATTCTCAGCACCACAGCATTGACGCTAATGAAGATTTCCTGTGTATTATTATTATTATTATTATTATTATTATTATTATTATTATTATTATTATTATTATTATATTATTATTATTATCATTATTAATTACAGATAGATTGCGACCTACCGCATGACCTAAGATGAGAAACATCTCTACATCCAGAGATGTATTGACTAGGGTTGATGTCATAGATGCATCGGGAACCTGTATCCACACATACACCATTACTACACTCAATCTCTTGATCGGCACAGTTATGATTCAGTCGTCTGTAGTCTGAAACAAAGCGAATAGGTTTATTTCAAATACAAAGAAATACATCCCCCATGACATTATATGATGCCATACATGCACACAGAACTTTTATCCGCAAATACATCATTACTACACTCAATCTCTTCATCTTAACACTTATCATTTAGTCTTCTGTATTCTGTAAACAAAAATCACAACATAATCTAACTCAAGATCAAAAGCAAAGGGAATGACACTCAATGATACTTCAGACAATACTTTTTAAAAAAAAACAAGATTGAGGGCAAGCCCAAGTTATTTTGTCTCATACGTTACCACCTGCATCTAAGATTTCAGTACATTGAATGATTGTACACCTAGAGCTAAGTCAAAGCATAACAAAACTATTTTAAGTCCATATGTGTTCACAGTTTCATATAATAATTCAATAATAATTGGTGACGTATTGACCTACCTTGAACTTGCCCTAAACCATCATCAATACAACATTGTAGGAATGACGCTTTTCCCTTTTCCACATCTTATCTTTAATATTAATGTCCATTTTGGGTTTTTAAAAAAAATTGCTGATCAGTAATATTATACATTTTCATACAACGTGGAATTATTATTTCAAGGGGACATGTATGATACAATATTCTCTTTAGACAGTACAAAAATTGTTTTAGTACAAAGCAAATTGGAGAGGAACTCGCTAGATTCGTCGCCGTGTTGCCAATTTGTGTTTGATTGATTAAAACTTCACTTTCTTATTTTTTATCAGATTTTGCTCAAATTATCACTGATCTTTTCCCCAATTTTCTGCTTCTATTGAAACCAAATTCAGATCAGGGTGAACTTTCCCTTTAAGTTTCAAAGCTTGGATCAAATAAATAATGACACGTACCACACGATTCCAATTCATCTTCTGCAGAGCTCCCAATGCAGTCAATGATCCCATCACATTGAACGGAGAGTGGATGTTCGTCACCGTTATAACACGTGAACCTGTTATCTGATCCAGATCCTGAACAACAACAAAAATCCAGGAATAAATACACACATTAGTCTACCTTTTAAATGAATCCATTGTAGAGTCTTAAAAATATCGTAGTCTAGTGGTTTGAGCACTTCACTCGACAAGCAAAGGTCGTGAGTTCAATCCCCGACACAGACCCAATGTCCTTTGAAAGAGCATTAATCTATATTTGCCACTCCACATCCAGGAGAGAAATGGGGACCTGGTAGGATGAAGAAAGCAATTGTGTTAGTTATTTCCATACGCCTTTACAGTGACCATTTGGTAGGAATACTCCCCAGGGAGTGGGGATGGTGTACATTGTGCGTGAATGAATCCGATGAACTGGGGTAAAGATATATGTAAACATCTTAGATACGGTGAAAATTGTCGTTCTTCATTTCAGTTGATATTGCTAACGACATGAACTTGCTATGATCCAAAAAAAATGCAAAAACAGCAATGATGACAGGACCACAATGTGTTTAAAGATGTGTTTACAATATCAAAGGTTTGTCAAGTGCACCTTGTTGTAATAACGTTATAGTCTATATACAGTGTTTCCATAGTATTATTTTATGAAAGTATCTAAAATTACCATGATTATGATAACAATGGTATGGGCCTGTGTCAATATTGTCTGCTCACAGTTTTCCATCCCAAAAGTACTTAATGTCCCTTTGTATACATTTCTTTTGATTGTGAACGCGGCTAGAGTATATAGTCATTTTATACAGGTTTTACAATGCAGTGGGAAAATAATTTGAAAACAAAACAAAATAAACCAATCTCTGTGTGGAGTATAAAATGATTAGAATAAGGTCCTAGTAATACATAACTAATATACGTAAATTAGACAAACAGAAGGAATATAAATGTCAGGTTTATACATAAAAGTATAAAAGGAGCCGAAAAGGCAGCTTCTCACCGCAATACATTTCGTCAGAGTTGTCAAAGCAATGATCCACCAAATCACATTTGAGCCCATATGCTATACATCGACCGTTATCACACAGGAATTCGCCCGTATTGCAGTTGTAGGGTGCTGCATTAATAGAAAGAAATGCAACTGAAATCAATAACATTATCATCATAATACACTGATCGTCTGTAAAAAGCCAGGTTAAAAATAACATCCAACAGAATGGGATGAAAATGCTTTCCATAGTCAGCATTTTTGCTCTTGTAAATTTACGATCACTTGATATAAAATTATAATTTACAAGATTTTGTTAGAATTAGAACATTCATCTCGCTACTTTAAAAAAAATTGTTTCATTCCAAAAATGTTTCATTCTGTAGTCAGAATTTCGTGTAAATCATCATTCCGTTGACATTCTTTCACAGATTCTTACTGTTCCAAGGGCTATTGCTTTTAATGATGATAATTACACTAATAATAACATTAGTATTATTATCTTCTTTTATTGTCACATACTTTATTTATATAATATGACAGAAAGCGTGGACATTTATTGATATTTGTTATTATTATTATTATCATTATTGTTATTATTTCAGCACTATGGCTGTTTTTTGTATTATTACTAATATTATTATCACCATCTGGATTATTTTGCTTACCGCAATCCAGCTCATCCGACCCATCCACGCAGTGCGTCACGTTATCACAATAAAAGGACATTGAAATGCATTCACCATTGTTACATGTGTAACTTGTAGAAGAACATCCCACATCTAGGAGTGTGTTCGTAAAGAAAGAAAAAGTTAATAACTATAAGGGAAATGTAGAATCACTGCATTAATGGAGAAATAAACAATTGCGGTAACCAGGATTGCTTTTACCGAAGAATTTAACGGTTATTGATGATTAGTTAATTTTTATATCAGTAAGAAAATAATGCCCGAAATTCACACTTTATCTGGGTATTACATTAAGAATTGAGAAATTGTACACAGCTTTGCTACTGTATAACAGGCAGGGGCGTAAATCCGTACCGAGGAGTGGGGGGGGGGGATGGGGGGGATGGTCGGCGATAGCCATCAAATACTAGCACGAGCACAGGCCCACACTAATTTAAACAAGCGCGCGCACACACGCACACACAACACACACACACACACACACACACACACACACGCACACACACACACACGCACACACACGCACACACACAAACGAACAAACAACAAACACGCACATACCCAAAAAAATGTACATAAATTTATACATGCATACATACACAGATCCAGGATTTCTTAGGGGGGGGGGCCAAATTTGAAATTATGCGAGCCAAATATTGGTAAGTAATGGTGACCAGCATTGGCGTAATAGGGGGGGGGAGGCAGGGAGGGGCGATTTCCCCCTCCCTCCTCCGCAAAGCGCCGAAGTTTTGAAGTTTCATTAAATTATTAGACAAAGAAGACGATTCGTTGTACCGTTCTCGAAAATAATCCTCGTCTTAATTCAGTCCCCCCCCCCCCCTCCCGCGCGAAGCGCAGAAGCTTTTACGTTCCATTAAATCATTAGAAAAAGAAGACGATTCGTTGTACCGTTCTCGACTTTTAATCCTCATCTGAATTCAGTTTTTCCCTTCCCCACCTACCGCGCGAAGCGCGGAAGCTTTTACGTTTCATTAAATCATTAGAGAAAGAAGACGATTCGTTGTACCGTTCTCGAAAATAATCCTCATCTGAATTCAGTTTTTCCCTTCCCCCCTCCCGCGCGAAGTGCTGAAGCTTTTACGTTTTATTAAATTATTAGAGAAAGAAGACGATTCGTTGTACCGTTCTCGACTTTTAATCCTCATCTGAATTCAGTTTTTCCCTTCCCCACCTCCCGCGCCAAGCGCGGAAGCTTTTACGTTTCATTAAATCATAAGAGAAAGAAGACGATTCGTTGTACCGTTCTCGACTTTTAATCCTCATCTGAATTCAGTTTTTCCCTTCCCCACCTCCCGCGCCAAGCGCGGAAGCTTTTACGTTTCATTAAATCATAAGAGAAAGAAGACGATTCGTTGTACCGTTCTCGAAAATAATCCTCATCTGAATTCAGTTTTTCCCTTCCCCCCTCCCGCGCGAAGTGCTGAAGCTTTTACGTTTCATTAAATTATTAGAGAAAGAAAACGATTCGTTGTACCGTTCTCGACTTTTAATCCTCATCTGAATTCAGTTTTTCCCTTCCCCACCTCCCGCGCCAAGCGCGGAAGCTTTTACGTTTCATTAAATCATTAGAGAAAGAAGACGATTCGTTGTACCGTTCTCGACTTTTAATCCTCATCTGAATTCAGGTTTTCCCTTCCCCACCTCCCGCGCCAAGCGCGGAAGCTTTTACGTTTCAATAAATCATTAGAGAAAGAAGACGATTCGTTGTACCGTTCTCGACTTTAAATCCTCATCTGACTTCAGTCTTTCCCTTCCCCACCTCCCGCGCGAAGCGCGGAAGCCTTTACGTTTCATTAAATCATTAGAGAAAGAAGACGATTCCTTCGTACCGTTCTCGACTTTTAATCCTCATCTGAATTTAGTTTTTCCCTTTTCCCCCTCCCGCGCGAAGCGCGGAAGCTTTTACGTTTCATTAAATCATTAGAGAAAGAAGACGATTCGTTGTACCGTTCTCGAAAATAATCCTCATCTGAATTCAGTTTTTCCCTTCCCCCTCCCGCGTGAAGTGCTGAAGCTTTTACGTTTCATTAAATTATTAGAGAAAGAAGACGATTCGTTGTACCGTTCTCGACTTTTAATCCTCATCTGAATTCAGTTTTTCCCTTCCCCACCTCCCGCGCCAAGCGCGGAAGCTTTTACGTTTCATTAAATCATAAGAGAAAGAAGACGATTCGTTGTACCGTTCTCGACTTTTAATCCTCATCTGACTTCAGTTTTTCCCTTCCCCACCTCCCGCGCGAAGCGCGGAAGCTTTTACGTTTCATTAAATCATTAGAGAAAGAAGACGATTCGTTGTACCGTTCTCGACTTTTAATCCTCATCTGAATTCAGTTTTTCCCTTCCCCCACCCGCGCAAAGCGCGGAAGCTTTTACGTTTCATTAAATCATTAGAGAAAGAAGACGATTCGTTATACCGTTCTCGACTCTTAGTTTCTTTAAAAAGGGGGTGGTTTTTTTTCTCTCTCTCTTTGGAATCCTGAGAAATGTAAAAAGGATGTTATAAAATATCTTGAATTTCATAGAAAAATTGATCAAATCCCGGGATCAAATTCCTGAAATTCCTGCTAGCTTTGAAAGCTCATTCAGGATTACTTCATTTTAAAAAGTAAAAACATCGGCTCCCAGTCCCCCTCGATCAACTAGAGATCATCTGATTTTTTGTTTTTGTTTTTTGAAAAAGCCAGCGAAAAGCCGGCGAAAGGGGGATTTAGAAATGTTGGCAGTCCTGAGATAGGGCGGGGGGAGGGTGCTCTCGAAGGGAGGGAACGAGCATACGCGTACCCTAAATTACACTTAATGGGCGGAGCCGGGCATCTACTGTACATGATTGCACTTTTTAAGCGCTCGCGCGCTGGCGCACTTTACGTCCGGGCTATAATAATACCTTTCAAAATAACGAAAAATTATTCTGAAGTTTATGAAGTGCTTGTTCGCTCACGTCGCGCAACTACTCTTAATGATCGTGACATACTGTATACGTGTAGGCTATACAGTTATACATACATTAAAAAAAAAACACATTTCTCATGCATTATGCTGAAATTGAAACAATCACATTTTTTTTCTTCTTCTTCCTTTTTTTTCTCTCTTTTTTTGTTGTAAAATCAGGGGGGGGATGATTGTACAGGCCATCCCCCCCTACTTCAAGTCAGGGGGGATGCAGCCCCCCCCCCCATCCCCCCGGGATTTACGCCCCTGATAACAGGTAAGCTGCAGTGTCAACTACAAACAGGTCCACACAGAATATGCAATCATATCACACACTCGTAAACTAAAAACAAGGATACCATCTTAGCTATTGTAAGTTAGAATTAAATTTGATGAATTCAATTACATTTAAACGGCTGATTCTTATCCGTTTTACAAATTCTTACATTGTAAAAATTGTGAAATATCTAATTTCACTATATTTCATCATTAGGTTAACATTTGATCCAAAAGGTATATTCAAGATTTTTAAAAAAAATTCTTCCTCACAATCCGAATATCAACTCTTAAACTTTTTTCTTCTTTTTCTGTGCGCAGAGCGAAGCGATCTAGCGCGTAAAAAAAGGTAGTAATGAAAATTACGATAAATTACATATTCGAGTTGCTCCAGGACCTGTCATAATATGAGACTATAATATAGTGGTTCCAGCCCCCCCCCCCCCCCCAAAAAAAGTCCCTGCTTTGATCGTAAGCCTATATGAAGAGTTTAATTACAAAAAGGAGTTAAATCCATTTTTGTAACTTCGGAGAAAAAAGTAATTGTTTACCAGATTTTTTTTAAATTGCTCCCAAAATGTAGGTAAATAATTTTGTTGAAAGACGGGTACTTATTGTGAACAATGTTCTGATATCAATAACCCAATTTTCATCAAAAGTGGATTTAGCTCCTTTTAGAATCAAGCTCTTCATAAATTAAACAGATCGTATTTGTTCACAAATGTTGAACCTACCATCGAGACAATTACGTTCATCGGTACCATCAGCACAATCTAGAAGACGGTCGCATGTGTACACACTGTGCACACACTCACCAGTCCCACATGTAATCATAGTAGCTGGGCATTCAGGTATATTGGACGGGTTTATGAAGTCAAGTTCAACTGAGATAGTGCGTGAGATATCTATAGGAAAATAACCAGGAAAACAAATAGTTATCAGTTATAACAGATTAAACAAAATGCCGCACAAAATGTGATCTCATATTCAATCAACGTAACGCAGTTCGATTAGGTCTGGGGCCTAAGTGTTCCTTTCTTAACAATAGGGACTTTTAGATTTACGTGGACGTCCATTCAAGGCAGTGCATTAAAAGGACGTCGATCGTAGCAATCCACGTTGTCGTTGTGCAAATCTAAAAGTCCCTAATGCTACTGTGTGAAGAAGTAAAAAACAGTTATATAATAATGTGCTTATGCAATTACGAAGTGGCACTCCACACCCCTCCTGATTTCGGCCTTAGAGCAACGAAATATCTTGAAATCTGGCACATAAATAGAGCACATCAATACAGATATGAATATAAAATCTTATTTTAATAATCTCGATCGGAGCAATTTTGGAAATTCACCTGAAAATATGCGATCAGGTTCGTGTTAACGTGTTAAGGGAGGTTTTAATTCCGACACGCGCAAGAATGTGTGTGTGTATGTGCGTGAGGGTGTGTTTGGGGGAGGGGTGGTATCCATTCCGACCCTTTTTTGCCTTAGGGTCATCATGATATTGGCCAATAGAACAAACTGTATAAAGACGCATAATACCTATGTTATTTGAGACGACTGTAACCTTGCAAATGAACTGAGAACCAGACCGTGCAAGACACGGAATAGTACGCCATAAAGCTGTCGATCGGATGCTTGTCATGATAATTTGGACACATGATTCAAGTCCTCCTCCATCGGGCTCGTTCAGCGGTCGAACAGTTTCGCTATCCGACGTGCTATATGGAGTAAAATGATATCAAAAGCCTAATGAAATTTCACTTTTGGGAAAAGGGAGGATTAAGCTTCCACTTACGACGCCTAAGCCATATCCAGAGCGACCGCTGACGACATTAAGTCTTGGTCATTCTGTGTAATGTAATGTAATTTCGGTTTGTTGTCGGTCTCATCGGTATGACTTGGCTAAGAGGGGGTCGATAGGAGACTTTGAAATACTCAAAATCACTTCATACGTCTTCTCATCCTGCCATGCGAAGGTCAACTATTCTTTTATATTTGTTTCACTTATGAAATGAAATGAAATGAAATGAAAATGACATTACAGCTTTTTATAAAGACTGGTTCTATAGCAAGATGTGGTCTACTAAAATGTAATTCACCATTCGAACTTAACCCTTGCAGTTTGGGTGTCATATCAATGTGAAAAACAAAAAAGTTAATAGTCATTCACATATTTACGATGCTCTATCATAAAAATACCCGTATGTTGTGTCAACTATCAGTGATCGATTAATCAGTTCAAATATCAGCATATTATTAATGGTGCTTTGAACATAGCTAGAGAAAGATTGTTTATTTTGATACAGCATCTTTTTTTCCAATTTGACCTAGAGATAGTAAAGAAAACGAGCAACATAGCCTGAAGGAGTCATACAATGTTTCCACAGAAGTCTGATGATCTGCGTATACATTCAATACTTCGTAATAAAAACACACCGATAACAGTCATGTTTGTCAGGGACAGGACGAATTTGAAAAAATATTGAAATGTAAAGTATTCCAATTACTTTAATTTACTTTATTTCTTTTGATATTTTGTCAGGTACTTCTAGTCACTCTCCTGTGTAGTATACTTTATGTCGTTTGAGTTCACTTAAAGATAAATCTGTATAGTATATGATGGCACTGAGCACATTTGTTCCCATTTATTCAGTTCCTGTCGATGGTCAAGAAGTAATAAAGTGATAAAAAATTAGAGAACTCACAAACACGACTCTTATCGGAGTTTTCTGTTTATTACTAAAGATTAAATTCAATTTCATTTTCGTTTCTTAATTGTTTTTGCCCATCAACTTGAAAGGATATAATTATTTGTTATCATAGAAAATACACTATCATTTCATGCGTTGTTGTCATTATTTTGTTAGGTATAGGAAGAGGGGTGTCATTGTTAGCAGAAAGGCTAAAGAAGCAAACCCTAGCCTTTAAGCCCTTGCCTACGGGAAACTGGTTTCGCCTGTATAAGCTCGAGTATATGATACAATCGAGTAGTCAAGAGATTAATACTTACAATGGTGGGATATACCAGTCTGTGTATGTCATAGGTGATCCATCGGTCCATTGAAAGATACCTCTGTAGTTCCTGTTACCCAAACCTGACAAAGCAATTCAAATTAATTAACAAATTAAATTAAATTATTTATCTTTCGTTCAGAAATGTGTAATCTACTGGTATATATTTTTTCAAACAAATAATGAATCTAAATAGATAAATATAGAAATAATCAATGTTATTTTAACGCAAGTTATCAGGGGATCAAGACAGAATACTAGATAGGGTGAGGGAATTACATCAAATTGTCATGGATTGTATTGTGCAATTAGAATATTGAAAACTGACAAGTAGTTGCTTAAGCTACAAAGATAATTAAAGCACTAATATTATTTCTTGACATGCTTATTCTTTATTTTATCATGACTCTAGTGTTGTTTCATATATATTGGCCTTATACAATATTTTATTGGGCTTCATTATGGATTAACGTCTAGCATTATTTCTTATTCTGCCGGATTTTGCACCAAACTAGAAACAAAAAGTGATTATAAAATCTTTCCCAAGCTATCAATGTTTCTCATGTAATGACATGTCGTCAAAAAATGACGGCTGGATTGACTTCAGAACAATAAAAGCAATATGCACTCTCTTAAAAAAAGAGAGTGAATTTTCACTCTATTTTCACTTTCTCGGGAGTGACGTCCGTGATCACTTGTTTAGGAGTGAAAATCGATTGATTTTAGAGTGCTCTCTGAGAAGAAAAGAGTGAATGTTCATTCTATTTTCACTACATTTTCACTCTCCAGAGGAGTGACGTCCGTGATCACTCGATTTTTTTTTTTTTAGAGAGCAGACTACACTCTCTGAGGAATATAATACTTATCCACTCAGTGACTCCTCAGCTTTACCACCTGTGCGAGTTTACAAGATGTTGGCAGCTTCGAGTGTATCCATGAAAAATCAGATCAGGATTTCTACCTACCAATATACGTGTCGCTTTCAGTGACAGGCCAATGCGACGTCATCATATAGTGAATAAATATTGCTTCATCCCTGCTGCGGATACTGACAAGGTGACCGTTTTCAACAGTAGACTGGCAATGATCTTCAGCAGCCTCCCATGTCAATCTCTCCGAGTATTGTACAAACTGATAGCAGGATCCATTTACATAGTCCCAGTGGCCAGGGCTCGATGCCGTAGAGGGCGGGCAAGAGTGCTCTACGAATAAACAAGTGTTTTGAAACTATATCTATTATTTAATCAATAAATGAATGTTGGTAATTTAAGATAAACCTGTTCACACATCAACATATCTAATTAAACTTTAGCCTCTTACATAGTCAGTTGTGCATTCCAGGATGCTCATCTGTTGGCCTATATATTATCAACCTGTAATCGTTTACAGAGTTTCTTGCTTTTGGCAAAATACTGTTAAAATACAAAAATGATATTCGAATGGTATAGCAGATTATCTGGTGTTATTCTAACCTGTATCAGAGTCATTTGAATACGGCTTTTCAAAGAACGCAGCTTCGTATTCAATCATCATTCGTATTCCTTTATATTCCATGGCATTATTTAAAGCAATCGTGACAGAATTTAGATTGCTCTCTAGAAGTTCCCCGGGCGGGTTCTCACTGCAGAACGTATCAAGTTGTACATCTGCATCAGTATTTTGTTCGTAAATGGTCACACTATGATCGGGGCAATCGGATGGAAAGAAGAAGTCTGTGAAGTGAAGACGAACATAGGAATTGTCTGGAGTTGTTATACGCCATCTACATCTCATGACACCTACGGTCAGCATTGGGTAGTTAGGTGATATGATGATCCCAGAACTTCCACCACACTCGTTTAAGAGTGATGAACATTGGTCAAAACTGCTCTCAAAACATCCGGGTTTATCTAAATATTTTGGAAAATAGAACGGGAAATGAATACTGAGGAATGATCATGTCTTGCATTTGGACTTCACTGACCGACATCCCATGAACTTTGATAAGCAAATATAAAGTGCATATAAACACTGGAATGTGCATGCATCCGACCAATGATATCTATTCATAGGTGTATACAAGTTTTAAAAATCACCAAACCCACTTGAAGTCAAATGTTCGAGGCGCATCAGTGTAAAAGAGGAAATCACATATAACACTTTTATACAAAAGTACAACATGGGTAGGATATAACATAGAAATAGAACTAATTAATATATTTAATAATAGGCAAAATCAAATACCAAAAAAAGTATGTACAGCAAATGCAATTTTATAATTTTATTTTGGTAAGCTATTTTCCCTGTTTGTAGTGATGGCCCATTAGCTATGGCATATATTGAGGGTTATTGGTCTCATAGTTCCTTGGTCAACTTGGCTTTTCTCAAGGAATTGTTATTGGGAAAGTCCAAGCTATTTTGTCTCACGCGTTACTGATCACATCTAAGATATACGTATATCTGGCGACTATCAATATGATAGCCTTACTAGAACATCAAGCAAAAGCCATTTCCATGTCACTATATGTTTACAAAGCATTATATGGGACACACGTTGGGGTCATTATTGTGTGACGCAGAAGTGGTTCTAGGGTGGCTTTAAGGGGAGGGGAGCCCATGTAATGAATGATTGCAAGAACGCCCAACTCCCTTAAAATACCCCTCCACTCAAACGAAAATCTAGAATCGCTCCTGTTGTTAGGTGAGAAAAAACCTTCCTAAGAAGAGTTTTCAATGGACCAACATTTCCTGAGATCAGAGACAAATTAGTGATGCCTTACCAATGAAAGTTACATTCGCTTGAAACCCTTCAGAGATCTTTGTCAAACCGAGAACGAGACGAACATTCACTTGACTGGTATTGGTGATAAAGAGTGGTGGGAACCCTTCACACTGCCTCTCAATCGGGTATAACCATTCATCTGATTTAATCCCTACACTGTCACTGCACTGGTCTCCACTTGCTCCTACGTTGATCTAAACAAAAAAACATTGAGACAGATGCTAGTGATGGAATTGGAGACTACAATAGTGATAAATACATGATAATCACAACCTGCAAACAAGAATAGGCAATAATTGTTTCACGCGGCTACAAGCGACTGGTTTTGTGTTTATATTCGATTTCACTTTTACAAAATGTCCTCTAAACAATATAAACGACACCAAAATGGTAATATAGCTTATGGCATTCGATGAATGCTGTTTAAAACTTAAAACACTGTTTTGATGAAATTCGATCACTGACACAGAGTGTAAGGGAAATTCAAATTTATCATTTTTATTCCAATGTTCAATTTTTAATTCTAACAGATAAAAGGTATTTTCAGAAGAAAACTGAACTATTGGAATTTGATTATGAATTTGATTATGAATTTGATTATGAATTTGATTATGAATTTGATTATGAATTTGATTATGAATTTGATTATGAGCTTGTATTATTGAAAGGGCAATCCGACCATTGTTACACCTTCATGCGTAATAAATCATACAAATCATAAGAGAAACAGAATGGCGAAAGTTTGAAATAAATCGGACCAAAATTAAGGGAGTTATGAATGTTTGACCTTTCCGTTTATCATGCCCAAGTATCATTATTTTCGGTTTTCCTTCTAGACTAAATGCCTATTCCATTATACGGTATTATAGATAACACATTATATAGGTCCTCTAAAGATTGAAAAAATCTTTTAAATACTCTATATATTTTCATTTTTCAGTCATTTTGTGTGTTGGAATAAATGAGAATTGTCCAGCACTACATCACAGTGAAATTACAGATTCAGCCAATTTGAAGTGCCCATACTGTTAGTGATTCCAAAATTACATAACTTTTTTAAAACTTTTTGCCAGATTCCATTCAAACTTTCCCCAGTCCGTTTCTCTGATTTTTTTATTTTAGAGAAGTTGTCTACTTAGGTTTGATTTTTCTTTAATCATGACAGAGAATTTATCATTGAACATTTGCTACGTAATATTGCAAAGCACAACTGACACATATGTATATATAGATGTAATAATGTTACCCTGTAGTCAGTAAATTCGATGGCGATGTATTTATCAGGTGGTGCTGATATTTGCACAGAACATTCACTGAATGGTGAAAAAATGGAGGGGAAGGGAGCGGTTTCTAAGACGCCATCTTGCCAACCGCCGTACACCAGAGTACTTCCCCCACATCCCGTAACGCACTGATCTCTTGAGCAATCTTCATGACGGAAAAATCAAAAACATGTTTCTTTGAAATCCTGTAAATATTAGCACTTATAATACATATTATTTCATTTCATACATATTTCCTGTCCAACATTCTCCACCCAACTTTCATTTAAATCAATGTTAATCATATTCAATGCTTTAAACAAAAATTTAAATCAGAAACGAAACTAGATGGATGTTCTACAGCGTGCAGTCGAAAATGATGCCTCCGTCATAGAGCGATTTTACAAACCAAAACGGAAGTAATCTAAAAAATTCAAATTTGATTGTAATTCATTAACAGGTTCTCAGAATATCGTAATTACCAGCTATTCATTAACATATATTCATATACAGTTTTGAATGGGCTTTTCGAGTCTAAAGGCTATTTTTTTGTTTTCATCTGATAATTTAAAGGCAGGGTATTTCACCGGCATCATTGCTGTAATGCATTTTCAATTGCGCCATCTTTCGGTGAAAGTGTAGACAGAGCTTTTTCCAGTGGACCCAAGCAGCACCAAGCAGCATTGTGGGACAAAGCTGTCGACATATCAAGACATCGTGAGCAAGAGATGGCAGTGTATATAAATCTGAAGTAGTGTTAGTTCAATACCCTGCCTATAAGATAAGGGAATGGGCCTTCCAGTCCTCATGCATGGATCCATCACTAGGCCTAAACAAATGAAATATGTTGTATTGCCCTTTGCGACCGACCCCAAAATCTTGAAATCTACGGTCGGCTTTTTAAAAAGTTTTTTTTTAACCGTTTTTTTAAAAGATAAAAAATATATTAAAGCATTCAAAACTGGGAAATATTGGCCCAAAGAGGGGAGGAAAAAAAGATCTCCGACCGACCCACCCATGTTTTGGCACCTGAAGGGCGATACATCTTTTGTTTAAGGCCCTATGTTACAGAGTCGTCCTAATACACCTACCAACACTCTCGTAGTATAAGCTAAATCCCAGTGGTGCCATGGTAGCTTGGAGAGGTCCGATCGTTAAGTCGAGTATGATGGGAGTTGGCATGATGATTCGGAACGGTGGTAGATTGCCGCATACCTCACGGAAGCTGTATCTCTGAGGGTCATAGATAGCAAGTCTGTCCATACAGCCGTTACCTTGGTTACTGTTGATAAAGGTTCGCAGATTCATGTATTTGATATCTAACCTACGAGGGACAGAAAAGAGAGAGAGAGAGAGAGTTCTAATAATATAATATGGCTCTAGGACAATAACCCAATGAACAATCACCCCCGGCCAATTACCAGAGGGACAATTATCCCCCCCCAGGACAATTACCCCCCGATTTTTGTTTTTGCTTTGATTAAAACCAACTTATTATCAGGGTAGACAGGGTAGACTTCCCCTTTAATGAAAGGGGGCGTAATTTTCGGAGGGGGGGGGTGTAATTGTTCTAGGGATTAATTATCAGGGTGGGTTGTCCTCGGAGGGGGGGAGGGGGTTGTTCTTAGGGGGTAATTGTCCAGGGGTTATTGCACGTGGGTGTAGTTTTCCGGGGTGATTTTCCCCGGGGTGATTGTTCAGGGGGTTATTGTTTTGATACGATATATTATGTATGTAGCCAAATAACATGTACTACATACGGTCCAAAGGGGAACATCTAGCATTCGATTCCTCTAAATACTTGATTTTCAAAGAAAGACTTCATTCACCCAACCAAACACGAACAAAAGTATTACTCAATTAATTCAAACAAATTTGGCATAATGGTGAAAAGTACATGTGCAACTTATCTACTGTTAAAACAAACTTAATGTTTTTAACGCAAATAACACACTCAACAACAAAAACACGTATACAATGCATGATGTTTTGCATATAAAATAAATAGGTTAAAACTTAATTGTTTACCATCTCGGACCCCCCAATTAAGGATTTAAAAAAAAATCATATGAACTTCATTGTTCAGAAGACTGCTCTGGAAGTCTTGAATAAATTGATGCGGTAAAGGGCATTACCAAAACAAATGTGAAATACTTTCAACCGAGGATAAGAAAAATATACATGAATAAGAATACTCCAAGCCCATAGTATGAAGATATTTGTTGACCCCAATTATTCGGTGAAATATTCTGAACCCAAAATAACGTTACTTTGCGGAAAGGCAAGATTTGAAAGCCATAATATAATACATGACTTTCATGGCAAACTTTCTCGATGTGTTCTATATACCCTCTTCTGCTGTAGAAAAATAAGGAAGAAACTACATTTTTGTTATAGTCTTTTGACTTCTTTGGCCTATATCATATAGTATCATATTATACTGAAGATAATGCTGCGGGTAATTACAATTGAAGGGCTCAATAGCATAGTGGACGTAAAACATATAATGTTAAAGCCCCACTGCACTAATTATAGCTACTTGCGCCCTCTATATAGAAAACAATGCCTAATCGGTGACCATTGGTCCCCAATGATCCCTTTTTCTTATGTTTTTTTTTTCCAAAGAAAATTTGTATTCAATCATTCTTCAGCAAGAACAAAACAGTAGACTTGAACAAAAGTACATGTTGTGACATAATGGTAAAACAGTGTTACATCACTTGCACATGCCTCCATGTATCTAGTAATATAACACATTTATTGCGTTTGATAGAAAGAACCCGCTCAACTTCATAAACACGTTTAAGCATCTTCTTAAAAGAATTCAAAGATAACCGTTCCTTTTGCATTTCGCAGAGAATAAATAGTATTTTGCATATACAATGACAAAATTAAAAATGGATTGCATACCATCTGGGAAACCAAACAAAAAGGCATTTTTGTTCAAAAGCACTTCATTGTTTAGAATAGAGCTTTAGAAGTCTTGAATGAATATTATTGATGCGTAACAGGGCATTCCCAAAACAAGTGTGAAATAATTTCAACAGAGGATAAACAAGATGTACATAAATTAGAATATATAGCTATGCCCATAATGTGAAGATATTTGTTGGCCCCTAGTATTCGATGTAAAATTCTGAACTGAAGATAAAGAAGTTTCGTAGAGAGGCAACATTTTAAAGGAATAGTGTAAAGTTTCTTCCAGTCTTGAACAGGTTCAGTTAAAATTGTAGCCCATTTCTTTTCCGAAATCGGAACTTCAAGGTTCTTTTCAACATAAATTTGATGAACATATTTGCAAACCTTCTTTAAGTTATGCAATAACTCTTCTTGGGGTGTCTTGCTTTCAGCTTGGTTCTGTAGAATACCATTTTTCCATTCTTTTGGAAGTGCAGAGATTAATGAGTAGAAGTCAAGAAAATGACACTGAACTTTATATTTTTGAATAAATGTTATATGAGAATAAAATTTACCATGCTCATCCAATTAATGTCTTATACGAGTGATTCCAATATCTATCCACTTGTGCTTAAATACAAGATTACCACCTATTTTAATTAGAGAGTTATTCCACAACACTTGATCTTGAATGTTTACATCTGTCAATCTAGGATTTTAGGGGAAAATGTCAAGCAAGTAAAGTTTCACGTATAAAGTGGTTCCTTACATTGAATATTTTGGGGTCATTAAACTTTAAATTGTACAACCAAAACAAATCACCCGAGATGTTTCAAATAGTATTAAAAAAAACATTTCCATTTACCTGTATTATCTACATCAATCAATCGTTTTACCCTTGCAGTTTTCAATCCTTTAATAACTGAAGGAAGATGTAACATTTTTAATCCACCTTGATCATAATCCCCAATAATTGTACGACGGTTAATCTTATCTGGTTTTCCACTCCATATAAAGGAGTACATTAAAGAAGCAATTTCGTAGAAAAATTCTTCTGGTGGCTTTGGGAGAACGGATAAAAGATATACTCATTGAGAAAGGCCTAGCGACTTTAATACAGTGATTTTCCCTATAGGTGTTAAATTTCTCATATTCCATATTCTCAAAATATTTTTCAATTTTAGTAATTTTGGAGGAAAATTAAAGATAAACTTTAGTACTGGTAATGCGATTGCATTGTGAAAGAAAAGGTGTGGAAAGGATCAGAAACAGTTGATCATGTAGCATGTAAGTATTGGTGTGCACTGCAGGGTTCCGGAGTCATCAAAATCATAATAAATTTGACCGAGTCTTGGTAAAGTAACAAGCACTCACATAGAAAGCTATATATGGGACAACACTCATGGTGTCGGGGCTAGTACTACCTTGATTTCCTTGTCTTTCTATGCTCATTACTCAGCCAGTATACATTTTCTTCCAAAATTGTTTGGCACATGTCATTTATTTGTAATCTTGAACATTCAGTGTAAGTTTCGTTTGATTCTGTGAGATTTTTTTTTTTTTTTACCAGTACTGGAGTTTATCTTTAATTCAAATATATTATCAAGATTAATAGAAAAATACACTCCTGGCAGTCTAAAGGGTCCATTGGAATATCTAAGTCCACCAAAAGATATGTCGGGAGGGTGGGCATTGTAGTACCCAAGAGCTGCTATTTTCGATTTGTTCCGGTTAATGCATAGTCCTGATTTTTTTTAATTAATCTAAGATAAACATAATAATTTTAAGCGAAGCGGCGTCGTTTAAATAAAACGTTGTGTTATCAAGCATATGAATTAAGCTTAATTTCTGTACCATTCACTCTGATGCCTTTAACATCATTATCTCTCCTTATTCATATACTCATTATTTCATTACAAATTATATACAAAAGGGGGGCCTAGAGGGCAGCCTTGTCTAACACCACATGTAATTGGAAAAAAATTGTAAGCATGCCCATTGTTCGACACACATGAATAAATAATAAATTTTCACTCAGGATATTAAATCTTCCCCAAAATTGAAATATTCCAAAGCTTGAAACATAAAGGACCATTTTAATTTATCGACAGCCTTTTCAACATCAACCATTAACATAAAACCGGGAATATCATGTTCATTTGTTAATTCAATCATGTCTAAAGCCAAACGAATGTTCTCTCCAATGTACCGACCATGTAAAAACCTGTTTGGTCAATACTAATATTACCCGACAAGACTTTCCATAGTCTCAGAGCTAAACTTTTAGCGAGAAGTTTGTAATCTGTGTAATCTGTGTTTTTCTTATGTTAATTGAGAGCTGATTTGGTGATATAACCACCTGTCAGTGACCATGCAGGGAGGTTTAATCCCTCCTGACCAACGTGGTGCAGACCGTGCAGTTGGCCATTACGAGAAAGGAGGTAACGATAAACAAATATCCAACCTTATTTGCAAGTCATGTGTTCCGGAGATGAATAGAGTTATCTTTCTTCCTGTATAATACCACGGGGCGAATGCTCGTAGCTCGATGTACCCATAGGATACATTCAGAGCATAATAATCCAAGCCTTCGTCCAACAGATCTTGAATCCTGGTGTTAGACACGCCTGGTTACGAACGAAACACATGAAATTACGGTTTATATCTTTATCAAAATCTGTTCAAAATACGATAAAATTAAGGCATTACATAAAAAGAGAACAATCTGAACGGGGGATGATAGTTTCTAAAGCAAAATGGATTGAGAATGGTAAAATGTATATTTGTCATTTTACTAATACAGGAAAATGGTATTCGACAACCCAAAGCTGTCTTCCATAGAGTACGTCATGAAGAGAATGAACTTGTGGGAGATCGAATTCTCATGTAAATGCTGAGAAACCATCATCATGACTATCACCATCGTTATCATCATCACAATCATTATCATCATCACCATCATTATTACCATCACCATTACAGGGGCGGATCCAGCCGGTGAGAAAATATTTAGCGGCTAAGTAGCCGGCCGATAATTCGCTCAGTGGGGAGAAGGGGGGGGGGTAGTGAGCACTAATTTGTTTTGCCCTCGAAAATTATTTGAAAAATCGCACCATCATTATCATAACCACTATCACCGTCATCACCATCATCATCATCATCACTATCACCATCACCATCATCATCATCACCATCATCATTATCATCACCATCATCATCATCATCATCACCATCACCATCACCATCATCATCACCATCATCATTATCATCACCATCATCATCATCATCACCATCACCATCATCATCATCATCACCATCACCATCACCATCATCATCACCATCATCATTATCATCACCATCATCATCACTATCACCATCACCATCATTATCACCATCACCATCATCACCATCATCATCATCATCATCATCATTATCATCACCATCATCATCACCATCACCATCATCATCATCATCATCACCATCATCATCATCACCATCATCATTATCATCACCATCATCATTATCATCACCATCATCATCATCACCATCATCATTATCATCACCATCATCATCACCATCACCATCACCATCACCATCATCATCATCATCATTATCATTATCATCACCATAATCATCATCACCATCATCATCATCACCATCATCATCATCATCACCATCATCATCATCACCATCATCACCGTCATCACCATCATCATCATCATCACTATCACCATCACCATCATTATCACCATCACCATCATCACCATCATCACCATCATCATCATCACTATCACCATCACCATCATTATCACCATCACCATCATTATCATCACTATTACCATCACCATTACTATCATCATCATCATCATCATCATCATCATTATCACCATCACCATCATCATCATCACTATTACCATCACCATTACTATCATCATCATCATCACCGTCATCACCATCATCATCATCACCATCATTATCACCATCACCATCATCATCATCACTATTACCATCACCATTACTATCACCATCATCATTATCATCACCATCATCATCATCACTATCACCATCACCATCATTGTCATCATTACTATCATCGTCATCATCATCACCATCACCACCATCATCATCACTATTACCATCACCATTACTATCATCATCATCATCACCATCACCATCATTATCACCATCACCATCATCATCATCACTATTACCATCACCATTACTATCATCATTACTATCATCGTCATCATCATCACCATCATCACCATAGGATAAGTGTGTAGTTAATTGTGGACATTCCGTTATCCTCTGTCCCCCAGATTGTTTAACAGTCTGTATATATATGTAAATCAATTTTTCTTGTGATGGCCCCACTATTAGGCCCGCTGCACACGAGATGATATAATGTTTGCGTGATTATCGGCACAAAAATTAAGCATCTTATTTTAATTCGTGCATACTCCATTAGGTCTAAACCATAATGCGCTTTTCACAATGCGTTGATTTTTGTATACGATATCTTTCAGACACAGCTCTCCAGTTGATGCACTAATCACTGACGCAATCTTACGTCAATGAAATGAGGGCTTCGCTATTATGCAACTCACTTTTGATACACACATAATCCAGCGTCTCGTTGCAGGTTGTCATCCATGCTGAAACATTGCCAGCTCGTGACCCATTAGTGGCGTAACAGACGGGGGTGACGTTCGATGCTTTATGCGGTTCCACCCACAAAATACTCTCCGTAATGTTGAAAACATCCTACGAAGATGAAATAAACCGATAACACAATTTGTTGTTGGTCTTGTCTCGTCTGAGTGAGATTGAAGGGCAATCCAAAGCTTTCTAACAAGACAAGACCAACAAAAGCACCCACACACGACCACCACCACAACATATAGCAACATCAAACAAGTAGTTTGGTGAAAGATTGAACAATGATATTTACAGAATTTATCAAGAAAGTTATTTATGTTTGAGTGCCGAGATAATTATGGAGAATTGGTCACACTGAAATGTAACCCGGACAATTGACCTGTTTTAATTGGTCCTGTCAAAAGTCCTATTTTTCTTTCAAACGTCGTTTTCTTTGGGCATGTACTAACATATTATATTACTATAGATCCTCTATCAGAATAATATTAAGAGGTGTATCAAAATACAGATATATTAATACCTAATTAACATACTGATATTTAGACAGATAACATCTAGAGGCGGGTTATTTGATTGACATAGATACCGTTGTTGTCATGTATTTTCGATTGCGCCATCTTTCTGTGAAGGTTTATATAGAGCGACTTCCGTCATCAGTTGCATGCTGGGATATGGATATGTATAGCTCAGAGACTACGGAAGTCTTCTCTGGTATTATTAGTAGTGACCAAACAGGTTTTTACATGGTCGGTACATTAGAGAGAACATTCGTTTTGCTTTAGACATGATTGAATATACAAATGAACATGATATTCCCGGTTTTATGTTAATGGTTGATATTGAAAAGGCTTTCGATAAATTAGAATGATCCTTTGTGTTTAAAGCCTTAAAATACTTCAATTTTGGAGAAGATTTAATATCCTGGGTGAAAATTATGTATAATGATATAATTATGTGTGTTGAACAACGGGCATGCTTCTATTTTTTTTTCTCCACTTACATGTGGTGTTAGACAAGCCTGCCCATTAAGCCCTCTTTTGTATATAATTTTAATGAAATAATGAGTATATGGATAAGGAGAGATAATGATGTTAAAGGCATCAGAGTGAATGGTACAGAAATTAAGCTTAATTCATATGCTGATGACACCACGTTTTATTTAAACGACGTCTCGTCGCTTAAAACTATTATGTATATTCTAGACCAATTTAAAGTTTTTTCAGCAAGGAAAACGGAAATAATAGCTCTTGGGTAATACGAAGCCCACCCTCCCGACATATCTTTTTCTGGACTTAGATATTCCAATTTTTCTATTTAATGTTGATGATATATTCGAATTAAATTTTCCTCCAGAATTACAAAATTGAAAAACATTTTTAGAATATGGAATATGAGAGATTTAACACCTATAGGGAATATCACTGTAATAAAGTCGCTTGGCCCTTCTCAATTAGATAAGATTAACCGTCATACAATCATTGGAAATTATAATTAAGGTGGATTAAAAATGTTCCATCTTCCTTCAGTTATTAAAGGATTGAAAATTGCATGGGTAAAACGATTGATTGATGTAGAAAATACAGGTAAATGAAAATGCTTTTTTGAATATTATTTGAAACATATCGGGGGAGATTTGTTTTGGTTGTGCAATTTAAAGTTTAATGGCCCCAAAATATCCAATGTAAGGAACCACTTTATACGTCAAATTTGACTTGCTTGGAGTGCGTTGACATTCTCCCCTAAATTGACTGATGTAAACATTCAAGATCAAGTGTTGTGGAATAACTCTCTAATTAAAATAGGTGGTAATGTTGTATTTAAGCACAATTGGATAGATATTGGAATCACTCGTATAAGACATTTGTTGGATGAGCATGGTAAATTTTATTCTCATATAACATTTATTCAAAAATATAAAGTTCAGTGTCATTTTCTTGACTTCTACTCATTAATCTCCGCGCTTCCAATATAATGGAAAAAATGGTATCCTACAGCACCAAGCTGAAACCAAAACACCCCTATGAGGAATTATTGCATAACTTAAAGAAGGTTTTCAAAGTATGCAAATATGTTGATCGAATTTCTGTTGCAAAGATCCTTAAAGTTCCGATTTCCGAAATAAAATGGGCTACAATTTTAACTGAACCTGTTCAAGCCTGGAAGAAACTTTACACTATTCCTTTAAAATGTTGCCTTTCTACGAAACTTCGTTATTTTCAGTTCAGAATTGTACATAGAATACTAGGTGTCAACAAATATATTCACATTATGGGCATAGCTAATTCTAATTTATGTACATTTTGCTTATCCTCTGTTGAAAGTATTTCACACTTGTTTTGGGAATGCCCTGTTACGCATCAATTCATACAAGACTTCCAAAGCTCTATTCTAAACAATGAAGTGCTTTTGAATTAAAATTGCTTTTTGTTTGGTTTCTCAGATGGTACGCAATCTATCTTTAATTTTGTTATTTTATATGCAAAACACTATATATTCTCTGCGAAATACAAAAGGGAACGGCTATCTTTGAATTCTTTTATGAAGTTGAGCGGGTTCTTTCTATCAAATGCAATAAATTCGTATATTACTTGATAAATGGAGACATGTTCAACTGTTGTAAAATGTTTGTTTTACCGATATGTCACAACATGTACTTTGTTCAAATGTATTGTTTGGTTCTTGCTCAAGAATGATTGAATACATTTTTCTTTGGAAAAAAAAACTATCGACACATTGTGATATCATATAAGCCTGATCTCCTGCCTTTAACGAGGGGGGATGGGGTCTCGTTGGCCACACCCCTTTATTCACACCCTAGGAGACAAAGCTAGATAGAGCCTCACCTGTAGACGGAACACTTCTGAGGAAGTTGGTAGTCTTCCGTAAAGTAGCTCACATGTATTCCTAGCCTCCTCATTCGTTCCTTTCAACAGAGAGGGTAGCATACATGTACCAGATCCAATGCTTATCCATCTTTGATATTTACGATCAAATGAATTTATACATTCATCTGAAAAGAAATTGATAATATTAATAATAATGATAATAATATTAGTATTAATATTAATAATAATAATAATAATAATAATAATAATAATAATTATCATTATAATATGAATGATAATAAGAATTATAATGCTATTGATAGTGATAATAATCATGATATTAATAATGATAATAACATCGCTATCAAGGAAAGAGAGACACGCCAAAATGTCTTACAAGCCGATCGCCTGTCTGATTATCAAGATATTTATGATTGGAAATCAAAACCAAATTTTGCGTTTTCCTTACGTTTTTCATAACACTGCAGTCCTATGGAGATAACGAGTATGGTAAAATCGGTCACTCAAAGATTTTTACTTTTTTGAAGCACTTCTTGATCTTTTTTTTTTAGGGCTTCAATATTACACCATATTACAGACACTGATAACACATAGGGCCGTGCATCTCAGATTTAACATTGTTAAACATTTTTGTGAGATAATGAAAAACTGAGTGTCACATTTGAAAGAACATACAATTTAAATGACAAAATAATCTTTGTTTGATCAAAATCGGTTCAGAGACGGCTGAAATATCCATAAATATAACGATTTCTAATACTTGTGTACCATCACAAATATTCGATAATTTGAAAAACAGTTGAAAAAACGAAATAGCGCTTTTTACGTCGTATTTCAGCCAACGCCGATGTTGGCTTTTTTTGTTGTTGGCATTTTCGTGTTGGTTATATTACGCACAACCAGCCGGCTCATGTATTGTAATTTTTAATCAAATAATTAATTTACAGTCACCGTATTTTTGTGAAAGTGGTGTTGAATTGGTATGATCGTATTAGCTAAATTTCACACATTTTGGGGTCTAAAATTACCTTCATAGCAATTTTAGGTTCTAAAAGGGCACTAGAAAATAATGTCATAGATAAGAATAAGAGCAATAGCCATGCACTTTAAAGGCATTTGCGATCTGAAAACAGAACTCAACTATCCATTTAAATGATGCCTTCAATACTGTTCTTCCTGAGGACCCTTCAATCATATCTTTACTCAGCTTAATGTTTCAGGTACATTTACATATAACATTAATAACATAGTATGTCTGTGAGAAAATTGAAATAAATAGGCGTTGTATTTTTGATGGTTGCAACTATTCATGGACTTGAACCCTCGTCCTTTGCATCCCCAGGCAATCACTGCGTTTAAACCCCCTTTGACACCCCCCCCCCCCTTTCACGCATCTAATAAATCCCCACCGCACTACTTATAGCTACTTGCGCCCTCTATATAGCAAACAATGCCTAATCAGTGACCATTGGCCCCCCCCCCCCCCCCCCCCCCCATGGTGCCTTTTTTCTTATGTTAATTGAGAACTGATTTGATGAGATAACCACATGTCACGAGCTTTAACCTCATTAATCTAGTCAAATTATCCTAAATGGGAGTCTTGATCCTCACGTTAAGGACTCTGTTTTGAACAAGAAGGGGTGAAGTCCACGTAAAATCATATGATGTAACACCCTTCTAACTGCAAACAGATCTAGACGGTCGCACTGATCAATAGAAAGTATGAGACCATTGTCAGGTATGCATACATTTAGGATTTCATATGATGCAACATACCTTCACAATCAGATTCTCCTTCAAGTCTATAGCCATCATCACATGAACAGTGATATCCACCAACGTCATTTACACAGGCTTGTGTGCAGTTGTGCTGTGGTACCAAACACTCATTTAAATCTGTGTATTCGATGATCAAAGAATATCATATAAAGAGACACTTAAATATACAATGGTTTGATACATAAGTGTTGATGGAATTCCCTCCCATCATCTATTCGCGAAATTGACAACCTGGACCACTTCCAAGCTTCACTCAAAACTCACATCTTCCTTTAGACATTTAAATGCTAATTTTATTGGAGGAGCTCGCACCTTTGAATGTTTTTTATCATAATCATCATCTTCTACCTTTTACAGAATTATAAGTAGATTAGAACAAGCTAAATAATAGGATGAAATATAAAATAGGGTATTTGTTAAAGAGCATCTTATTGGCTGAGAAGCTATCACGTGACTCTCAAAATTTTGTCATTATTACGAGCGAGCAATATAACAACTATTTTGCACAGTAAAACGCGTACAAAAGCGAATTGGACTGCTCACCTCTCGTCCCTGGCTGCGTATACCCATCATTTGCATTGTCTTAGCTTGCGCGCATCGGACGCGAAGGCGACATGAATGCAATCGAGAGGGCCCGAATCCATAAGATCGCAAATACCCTCAACATTATATAACAAATATTGCATGCATTTCGTTGATGTGCAATATAACATATATTCACCTCAATTTCACCCGAGCCATTATATTTCCACCTCGACCTGCGGCCCCGGTGAAATATAACATCACTCGAAAATTTCTAAATTTCTCAGTTTATATAGCCTATTTCGTATAACATTTGCGTCAATTAAGAAACATAAAAAAAACGAGTGAGTAATGTTTTATTGCCAATTAAGAAATAAAACATTTATAATGATCCATTTTTGTGTAACCTCCCTGACTATAAAGGAACGAGTTACGTTTCGAAAATTCGGACAATAAAGTTGTATTTTTATATATTGTCGTAAGGGACGCTCTACACATAATCGCCCATGAGAGGTTTATTTTCAAATTGGGGTACAGTAAAAACTTAATGACCTAATCATAACAGATCTGTAATGAGTGAAAACCACGAGACTACATGACCTACCAGCTTGACATACTGTCGACCTCTCATCCGGGACACAATTATACAACTCCCATTCAAAACAGTTGTAGAAGTTAATGAAAGCACACTGTTCCATTCCTGCCGTCGTCACAGTGTTAGGCCCAAAATTATTGTAAAGAACCGGAGTCCCGTCTGCCCAACTGCCAATAAGATTAACAGATGTAATTATAAGGAAGAACATATAAATATTAATCATTAATAACAATAATAATATCGGATATTTATATAGCGCACATATCCACCATGCAAGGTGCTCAAGGCGCTTTCAATGAATTTCTTCCTGCCGGTACCCATTTAATACCTGGGTGAAGAGTGGCAAATGTGGATTAATGTCTTGCCAAAGGACATTATTTTCCATTGAGAATAAACAATCATATTCTGTACTGACTAGCTCATTATCATGGGAAGCAAATAAATGTACCGAAAACACAATATACATGTACTTTGAATTAGTCCTGGAGTTTTTCGTGTATGCCAGATGGGGGAATAGGAAGAGAAGGGTACCCCAAGACCCCGGCCCCCCCTCGATCTACCATTGAGCTCTCATGTCTAGTGTTCCTTGGCACACCAGGAGTGGGGCCGTTGGGTTGAGGGAAGGGAGGAGGGGGTTGAGGGGGGGGGGGGGGTTGAGAGGTGCAGCCTATACCTGTTTGGGCATGCAAGAGAGGGTTTATCAGAGATTCAGAGATCAGAGGTTCATGCCAGGAGATGGTGGTGAACCCTTCGGTTCCTGCCGGATGGAGGGTTTTTAGGCCGTTTTTTTTTTTTTCACATTCGTTCTAATTGTTTGGGCATGCAAGAGAGGTTTTATTGAATTATAATATGATGTCTACCTGTAAGTTCCTTTCTCATCCGATCGTAGCCCAATGACTAGTGCACTAGCCAAGGGTAAACGTTCCCTGTTCGCCAAGAGAAGGTTCTGGATGTCTTCAGACTTGATGGCTAAAGGTAAGCTGCCTGGTAGAAAGACATCATTACACATGCCCTCGTCTTCGGTCCCTATTACCCCGATACAGTAGCCATCGTAGAGGATCTCACTGGCACCACAGATCTGCGTGATATCTGACAGAATGTGACAACACAGATCAGGAGGGCGTTTCACAAAACTTGTCATCAGTGACGAATGACAGTTTGTGTTATAAGCTACTAAAATCCTTGCTCCTGATTGGTTATCAGCAGATTTGTCACTGATTTTAGTAATTTGTCATTGAAAAAAGGCTTTGTGAAACGGGTCCCAGGGAAGATAAGATTTTTTTTCTAATTTCCCATATGTCCACTTATTCACTGTGTACTATCTTAATCCACAATTCAGAATATAGTCAAATTCTTTTTTTATGCCATTGCACGACAAATGCTCAACATCATATTGGTCCAGAGCTGATCAACTATTCGATTTGAATAACGCTAGGGACTCAAGATATAATTATGTTCCCCTAACCATATAGCTGGATCGTTCATTTATTTACCAGTTAGTTGAGAACCTCGTACTCTGAAGCGCACTCTACCCTCATTCATGTTTTCATTTTGACGTAGATTTATTCGAAGCCGCACAGCCATGAAGGGGCGATCGAAGTGGTTAATAGTTTCTCCAAATGGATCCCGGAGGCCAGAAAACACCTGAATAGGTAAAGCAAACCTACACGTTCTTTCATAATGGTTTTGGAACCTGTTCCCGAATAGTCACCCTATCAGACCAGTAAGATTTGACGGTATCCGACATTCGGTCCAGCTACGATTGCTCCGGGCTTTATCCCGTCAAAGGTATAAGATAGGGGTTAGGGTTGGGGTTAGGGCTGCAATTAAGATTTAGGTTTAGGTTTAGGTGTAGGGTTAGGGATAATGATGCGATTAAGGTTTATGTTTAGGTTTAGGGTTATGTACAGTGTTGAGTGTAGGGCTGAAGTTCGGATTCGGTTAGTGAGGGAAATTACCACAGAGCACATGTCGCAAGAGCATGTGTTACACATACATCTCATAGGTTGTCAGGTTGTCGAATCTAATCACTCACTACTTGCTTGTTTAATCTTTTACTTCCTTTACTGTTTTTTTTTAAAACAAAGTGGTGAATAATTATTATGACATTGCTACGTACAAGTTATCAAAAAAAGGTGAAAATTCATTCACCCCTAAATGTTATACCCATGCCAGTCTATAATGATTTATATAAAGAAATATTACTGCATTGTTCAACCTTGCTCTTATATGAGTACATTCCATTAGGATATCATAACATAAAAGAAAAGAGGGAAATGAAGAAAGAAAAAAAGCGAAAAAGAAGAATGAAAGAAAAAGAAGGAAAAACAAGTAGAAGCAGACGAAAAAGAAGAAGGAGAAGAACAAGAAGAACAAGAAGGTAGAAATAATAAGAAGAAAGGACATTGGTTTGTCTTCATTTTCGCATACCACATGATAACCTGTTATATCCAAATATTTTCGCCAAGAGCCGGATTCGTAGTCCTCGAAGTTTGTCTGATAACTGATTGTGTATTCATCAATGTGATCCTCAAGATCGGAAAGTATAACAAAATATCTTTCAGTTCCTCCCTGGATGACTAACCCTGATACTAGGAATATAGAGTTAAAATCGATTTGGACCCATTCTGAAAAGGAAAAGACAAAGAACATTAATTAGGAGTGATATTAGAAATGAGAAAATGAGAAAGCTAGAACTGCACTTAGTTCCAAGATTTGGTCCATGGGCATTTATTCTGCAGTATATAACAAGTTGAGAGATATAGTTACGTCAACGGAAGCCACTTCCGATTGGTCAGTTATCTCATTGATTTCATTCATTTGTGCCTGTGCATTACCAATAGCCAAAATATCTCATCTCCTAACTTTGTTACGAATTACTGCAGATCCTCGGTATCGGAAAAACCCAAATTGGTATAGCTTAACTGAGAATGAAGCATTATCAGATATCTAAAGTGAGCCTATTCAAATATCATGAAAATACTCTTATTTGATGCATCATTCTTTATTACAACGGATCAATAATAAAGTACTCCATTATAAAGTAATAACATTCAATCAAGGCCCGGATCCACGGGTCGATTCTACCGTCTCTGAACCGATTTTGATCAAACAAAGATGATTTTGTAATTTAAATTGTATGTTCTTTCAAATTTGACAGTCAGTTTTTCATTATCTCACAAAAAATTATTTTGTGTAGCGCCCTCTGCCACAGCACTCAACTACCTTTAACATAATATCTGTATATTTCATTAAAATTGGTTAATGAAAGCAGGTATCAGTATTATGATGATCATTATCATTGTGGAAGCAGAGTAAACGTACTTTCCGTTTGTAATGCGAATTCAATTCCGCTTGAAGCATCTGCTGCATGCTGATGAAGATGCCATTGTGATAGAGTATCTGTATTACATCCCATACAGGTTACACTGGCAATCAGACGGTCATGATCGGGGTCATCAAGGCTCGTAGAATATTCTGTTAACAAACAATCAATCGGAGAGAGAGCAAGAGAGAGGGAGGGAGAGAGAGAGAGGGGGAGGAGAAGAGAGAGAGAGAGGGAGAGAGAGGGAGAGAGAGGGAGAGAGAGGGAGAGAGAGGGAGAGAGAGGGAGAGAGAGAGAGGGAGAGAGAGAGAGAGAGAGAGAGAGGGGGGGGTAAATCTTGAAATAATTTTTTCTAAATTTGTCTTGTAACATTGATAACAAAAAACTGATTACAGGTCATTAATTGGACAAAACAAATTAAGATGTATGCGGAGTATGTTACGTTCGTTTGTTTGTTTTGTTGACTGCTAGGAAAGCGTGTGAAGGCTTGTAATTAAGCAACCAGGGGACCGACAGCCGTAAGAAGTCCTCTTCGAGGGACTTGGTAATGAGCATTAATACTCTCCAAGGGCACTAGCGCATCGACTTGGTTTCGAACCTGGGACCTCCGATTACGAGACCACTTCTCTACTACCATTGAGCCATCGCACCTCCTGTATGAAACATGCACTACGTATTGACTTAATACATTGGTCATACAAAACTTATAGGAACAAAACATCATTATAGATACATGTATTACATAAAGAGGCACGGAATTGTTTCCTAAATGAAAAATAAAACAGAATATTGTCTCCTGGTGACTGATTTATATATGTATAGAGAGAAAGAGAGACAGAGAGAAAGAAAGAAACGGAACAAGGAAAGGGGGGGGGAGTTAAAATACAAAATGATTAAACAGGTCAACGAGGTCTTTTTTACCATTTGGATCCTGCGAAATAATTTATAAATGGAATTTCTTTATTGAGAATTGTTCAAACAATTCGTAAGTTAGACCAGAATATGGTTATCTTAACACTCAGGTTAGTTTCTGAAAAATATGGATGAAATGAAAAGATAAATACCGCTATGATCACATCCCATGAGATCCATTGTGAAGCATCTATAGTCTCCTCCCCAGGCGGTAGGATTTATTCGAACCACTTGAGTGTTGATCAACATCTGTTCGAAGTAGAGGCGAGCAAGCGATCCTCCTCCAGTATAATTAAGAGAGAGCTGGATATATTACAAAAACATTGTTTTAAGTATTTAAATTTGGTCTACTAATGTCGAATCTAGATGTTGCAAAGTTTCAAAGAAATCTTTGAAAATAAATAATGACAGTTATTAAATCTTTGATATGTTTATAATCTTTAATGTTAGATTTTTGTTTGTAATCGTATAGTAGCTTACTCAAATATGAACGATTGTTTTGTTGTTGTGGTCCAGTTCATTCGGAATCAAATAATACCTAGATAGCCAGTAATTTGCTCGATAAACGTAGAGGGCGATTCCATGCAATGTGTCACGTAAGATGATATCTTTCTTTCATTTCAACATATTAATTAGTCTAGATAATGAATATCGAATATAATCATATCATGAATAACATCATTCATTTATGAAATATTTGGATAAAATGTATAATATGTCGTATGGGACACACTGCACCAAATGGCACTTCAGGATTTAGGGTTATTTGTTTAGACAATTGAATCGATTGGCACCACATAAAATGCAGTGAATGATCATTAATTATTTATTGAGAGCTTCTGCACATTGGGCACTTTGTCAACCAGTGGAAATGACATTATATGAATAACTGGGACCCGTTTCACAAAGCCTTTTTTCAATGACAAATGACAAAAACCAGTGACAAATCTGCTGATAAACAATCAGAAACTAGGATTTCAGTAGCTTATAACAAAACCTGTCATTTGTCACTGATGACAAATTTGGTAAAACGCTCCCCTGATGTTACAACTGTACAGCAGAGAGGGCATTAGTAAGAATTACTTTACACAAGGTACCTTTGGAACAGTCTCACACGCCCGAGGCGCAAGGTACCTTGTGTGGGTAATTTTACTAATGCTCGAACAAAATGATGTGTATTAATTGTTTTATGAGATGATGTTTTATTTGTTTTATAAAATCATGTTTTATAACATGGTTTTACTAATGACCGGTCAATAGTAAAATTAAGTGTTAGGCAAAATAAAGGCCTTGTCACATGTACGCTGTCAACCAAACATTTTGATTAGAATCCGCTTCATCATCTTATAAAAACGTACTTACATCATTGAGTGTTTCCTGTTGTCCAGCATCAAGAGGAGTAGTATATCCCGGAAGAGCCCATGTTAGGTCAAATCGGGTCAGCCATCCAAGACCTACAATTTCGTCCCCGCACTTACGAGACATCATGCCAGCAATATTACGTCCAGAGGAGAACGTCACCTTTGGAAAAACAAAATTTAACAAACCATCAGAATTAAAGAAGGAATTTTAGATTAATTTGTAATGAGCGTTTTTTGGGTAGTCGGTATTTGAATAACAATAGATGAAGTTCCTATGTTGCTGCTTTACTCTATTCACGTGTAGATTTAAGTTAAAAAGAAGGTTGAGAAAAATCAGTATCCTATCATATATATATATATCTTTCTTGTAAGCCACCAACGGCGGTTCCTTGAAGAGTTCTCAAGTTGATGCGTCTTGTTGAAGGATACAAGAGTTTTCATCTATAACAGACACCAATTTAGCAGTAGCTGGACGGTTTGTGAGAAGAAACACGATCGGAGCCTGCGCTGCTTATTTTGGGGTTGTAAAGCCTGCTGTCGACATATGGAAGAGAGCTTCTTTATTAGCTGATTCACTGATCTTGGGTAGCCTCTTTGGCGGGAGACACCAGCTATTTCATTTGATCGTTTTAAAAAGATCGTTTACAAAATCTTTGTCACCACTGCACATGACAGTTTCATGACATCCATATATAGATAACTTCAACAACCTTCACCCTTCTCTTCAATCCACATTCAAAAACATACACATACAAAAACTGAAGGGGATGGGGTTTAACCCCCCCCCCCCCCCCCCCCCCCCTGCGTACGCGCCTGGTGTGGCACGATTAATTTTGTTAGGGATATTATTTGGATTTGTTAACTGAGACCGAATGAATACCGATATCCCAATTGTTTATTCAAAAATCACATAAGCAACTTTGGCGCAAGTGGGTTTTTGGTTTTTGCACTCTCGCAAACAATGCCTCATGTACATCCAAGCGTGAACACATACCACATAAAAATGATACGAAATGATTTGGGATAAAATCCTCTTTCATAAGATGCATAATAATTACTGTTCAAAGATGATTTGTAAAATAATCAGTAATTTTTTAGGTGTAAACTTTTTTTTTTACTCACACGGTATATGCTGCAAACGGTCCGTCCCATTCCCACAGCTTACAAGACTTGGCCGGCTGTGCAGTGACGACGAAGAGCTTAGGACCCCAATGCTTACTTACCTTTTAGGAACTGGGGACCGTTTCATAAAACTTTTTATCTATAACAAATGCTAAATTTCTATGACAAATTTGCTCTCAGCCAATCACATGCCATGATTTCAGTAGCTTATAACAGTAGCTTGTAACTTGTTATTAACATCAAATTTTATGAAACAGGGCCCAGACCCATTTTTGCCTGAGATTGTTAAGATTGTGTGTACGGAGGGGGTGGTATCACCTTGATAAAGTATTGTTATACTTTATTTGCATGCAACTCAACCGATCAAGAAAAAATAAATACACTTTAGGCCTGTTTTTATCAGCTCGAGTTTGCCAAATAGCCCGCTATTTCTGATTTGGGAAATTATCCCGAAGTTACAAATCGCGTCTTTATCAGCTCGAGACTTGACCTTGACACTTCAAACTTGAGCTCGAGAAATTACCTCGAGCTGATTAAAACAGGCCTAAAATTGATAAAATTGTGACATACCTCGATCCATGGGTATATGTCAAGGAACCAAGGTATCCACCCAGTCTCTCCCTGTTTGAATGGGTTTAATCGGGCAATACTCGAAGTGTGCTCAAAATCTTGAAAAGTCGATTCCTCGATACGATCAGAAGGTGATGAACCGATTCCTTCTGTAATGCTTTCATCACAGCCTACAAAACAATGTATTTTATGTGTAAATAAATAAATGATAATTAAAAATAAAGTCTTTGAATTGTTCAGACATCTATCTCATCTATCTCATCTATTTATGTACTGCACATTCCATGACTGAAAAATAATGACAAATGTCATATCACACCTTCTAATTATACTAAACATAGCGACAGGTATGCCATGACGTCGAGAGAGATGCAATAGATCACACTTAGTTTTCCCTTTAGTTTGGAGGGGTTTCTATGCCTGGGTGTGTCCGGCAGATTAGATCATACCGAACTTGAAAATAAAATAACACAAATTGACATTTTTTTTTCTTTCTTGGTGGGATCTAGGCAACGATGATTCCCCAGTCACACAAACAAAAAGGGCACCAGACCGACTACAGATCAAACCGATATTATATTACGTCTTATAGCACAGAATCCGTATCCAGACACCTACCCCTTGGACAACTACCCCCCGGATAACGACCCCCAGTCAACTACCCCCTACGACCTACCCCCTACGACCTACCCCTACGACCTACCCCTAGGGCAACCGCCCCCTAGGACAACCACCCCCAGGACTACTACCCCTGGACAAATACCCCCCGGTCAACTACCACTAGGACAACTACCCCCAGGACAACTACCCCGGACAACTAACCCCAGACAACTACCCCCTATAATAGTTGTCCTAGAGGATGGTAGTCGTAGGGGGTAGTTTTCCGGGGGAAGATGTCCTAGGGGGTTGTTGTCCGGGGTTAGTTGTCCGGCGGTAGTTTTCCCGGGGGTAGTCGTCCTAGAGGGTGGTTGCCCTAGGGGATAGTTGACTGGGGCTGGTTATCCAGGGTGGATGTCCAGGGGGTAGGTGTCCTGGAATCACCAGAATCGGTTGGTTTGAAGTCGGTTTTGTGACTGAAGTATATAGATGTGAAATCTTTAACTGTGTGGAGATAAGATGTTTATTTAGTTTGACGGTTTCAAGGGTCATAACCCTTTTTAGGAATAACTAGAGGAACCGTCTTGAGAAGACAGTCCCAGAGGCTTTGACTTACCATTATCTCGACATCCAAAGAACTCTAGCCTAAGAGCGACAGGACCAGTATTAACAAAGGGCCAGACCTGGATCGCATGGGTCCAGATAGGCCGCTCGAAGAAGACCTGGCGCACACAGGTAGACTCTGCATTGCCTGAGAACTAAGGTAAAGGGTTACAACAACAAAATATTCAAATGTCTTCTGAATGAAATAAACACGCTTTGAGTAGTATAACCGCAAATTCTTTGAATGTTAAACTATGCATATCATTAAAGCATTAGTACTACATAGAGATATTTGCATCACTGATATTGAGGCTATAATATTTCACAGTAAATGCGAGTTCATCCTTTTCGGCTCAAAATCTCAGTTGACCAAATTACATATAGACTCCATTTCTATTTCCGGTAACATAATTTCTTTATCAAATTCATGTCGCAATCTTGGCGTCATGCTTGATTCTTAAATGTCTATGTCTTAACAAATCACCAGTATTTCCAGATCAGTTCGCTTTCAATAGCGCAATATTGGCTTTATACGGAAATATCTGACTCGTTCGGCAACAGAGAAACTTGTTCACTCACTTATTTCTTAACGTCTGGATTTCGGCAACAGTACTAGTCTATAATTTACCAAATTCCCAAATTGCACAGTTACAAAAACTACAAAACACAGCTGCACGCATCATTTCTCTGGCAAACGTAGCCACATTACACCTGTCTTACAAAATCTGGATCGGTTGCCCGTAAAGGAACGTATATAATTTTCAAAATCCTCCTTTTAGTTCATCATATTATGAACAGACCAGCTCCTGAATACAACCAGTCTTTAGTTCACTTCTACCAACCCACACGTACCCTCAGATCCCCCGACTCTGGTTGGCTACACATACCGCTTTCAAAGAAATCTTGGGGGACAAGCTTTTTTGTAACCATAATGATATTTTAATTTATTTTGAGAACATGGAAATGATGAATATCCCTTTAAACATCTTGTTGGAAGTTATCACATTTTGCATTCAAAATAACAAAATTAAAAGAGGAACATTTATTAACTCATAGCCTGCCATAAGGCTGCATGCACACTATCGTTATAGTGCTTTGTACATGCGAGCAAACCATTGCTATAGTACCATGTGCGTGCAAGCACGCATTCGTAATAGCAGTTAGTGTTCATGGTTATTGGACTGTGCTGTGTGTTTCGCACGCGCTATTCATAGAACCATCGTGTTAATCAGATTATCTCCGAAACAACCTGGCACGGGGGGATTTGGGGCTTGGCACAATGGGGATAAGCCCTGTGGCATGTTAACTTAATTTCATTTTGAGGGTATATTTTATGAACCAATCTTACCTGCATGATCAGGAGGGCGTTTCACAAAGCCTTTTTTCAATGACAAATGACAAAAATCAGTGACAAATCTGCTGATAACCAATCAGAAGCAAGGATTTCAGTAGCTTATAACAAAACCTGTCATTTGTCACTATTGACAAGTTTTGTGAAACGTCCACCAGGACTAAAATTGTAATAATTGTAATTATACTATTCTAACTGTATAAGTGTGTACATTGCAATGATTGTAATAATATAATCTTACCTGTATGCTGGCAACCTCATCGAATGATCGTTGATAATAGACAAAACGGTCGTATCCCTCTACATGGAAATTGAGGTGGAACAATGAGGTATACAAGTTGTCTGCCTGCCCTCCACCTTGCATAAGGAGTCCTGAAATGACCATTCGCTCTGGAAACGTGATCTGTGTCAAGTCAGATATCCCACGTTAAATATGTTTGGTTAAGCATTCGTGAAAGAAAACTGTCTAAGCGCATATTTTATGTTACTGTAGTACATGAAAATCGGTGTACACTGAGAGGCTTTAGAATCATCACATAGACAAGAAATTGGTTCAATCTAGAAATACACATGTATACAATTGGGTGAGAAGTACGCATGCGCCATTCATCGATGCCTGCATGAGTTAGCACGGAATCGAGGAGATAAAAAAACAACACTCCAGGGGTGGATATTTTCGATTTCGATTTCGTCGTGTTTGCCGGCCATGCAACTACCGGCGAAACACCGGAATGTGAGAAAAATCAAAGATTTTTTTTTTTTTTTTTTGCAGTGTCAATGCAGCTTGAGTGCATATAGACGTAAGTAAAAAAATAAGACGATAAAACCAGGAAGCTGATAAAACAAAGGAATGTGAGACATGTGCATACTTACTTGAATAGCTGGATTGCGATCGCTTGGATGGGGTATCCAGGAAGAGTCACCATGGAGACGTGCAAAGTGAGGGGCGTGGTCTTCATCAAGAAAACTGGAGGCTTGGATGTCAGCATCTGGTATCCAACTGGATTCCATTCCCAGTGGTAAAGTGCAGGCGCCTTAACAATAAAAAAAAGTATAACTTAAAATAACTGATATTTCATGAAGATGCATTTTTTAATAGAAATTATTAATGTATGTCATATTACAGAATATAATGGGATATTTGTAAGCATGCATCCTATTGGCTAAAATTTGATTACGTGGCGTTAAATAATTGTGTACTTTTACAGGGTTTGACGCCATTAGTATACAAATAATACACAGCAGTGAGGGCATTAGAATTACCCGCACAAGGTACCTTTTGAACAGTCTAACACGCCCGAGGCGTTAGCCGAGACGGTTTGGGCTTTTTCGAAAGTACGTGTACCGAGTGAGGATAATATTAAAGGGAGGCTTTACTACTTCAGTCAGAAGGGACTAAACCACACAGCGAGCCAGCGAGGTCACTGTGACAGGTGGCTATCTCATTAACTCAGCTCTCAGTTAACATAAGAAAAAGAGGATCATGGGGGACCAATAGGCACCGATTGGGGAAGTTTTCTATATAGAGGGAGCAAGTAGCTACAAGTAGGACAGTGTGCCTTTAAATGCCCGAACAAAATTTTGTGTATTATTTGTTTTATAAGATGATGTTTTATTTGTTTCATAAAAAGATTTTGTTTTATTTGTTTCATAAAACGATGTTTTATAAAATGATTATACTAATGACCCGTCATTAGCCTTTACTAATGACCGGTCATTAGTAAAATTACGTGTTAGGCAAAATAAATTCCTGGTCACGTGTACGCGCTCACCCAATCATTTGATTAGGATCCGCTTCATCATCTTATAAAGTGTACTATAACTTCCTTTTTCGCACAGGGTATGCAGGACGAGCGTCTGCCTATCCTGCGTGTGGATCTATCAGTTGTCTAACGAACGTACACTTAACGCGGAAGGCAGTCCACTATACAATCAAATGCCATGTCTCGAAGAATGAAGACAGGAGATCGCAAAAATCTAAGTCTTGCATGCATGACAACGTTCAATATGACAAGTATTCACCTTCAAATTATGAATTCCTCCCCGTGCCGACATGTTTTAACATCGATCTTCGGCTTTCGCCCTCGTCGATGAAATATACCACCACTCGGGATAGGTATATCCAACGGTTGGGTTAAGACGGGCTTTTGACTTACTTTTCGTTTCAGGGACATCCCAGTATAGACCAGTAAAACCGTCTTAACTGGAAAATAAAGTCGCGGTGTCGTCCGGATGTTGTCCGGATGACATTTGCCCTCTTCCAATTAAGACGCGTCAATTGGGGTAACGTCCGGACAATATGGAGGTAAATCTCACCCTAGACGAGCCAGGGTGATATTTACCCGGGTGACATTTACCCGGGTAAATTACGTCATCGCCGTGAAAAATGTATACATGTACACAGCGCGCGCCAGCTGATCGCGACGAGACAGGTGCGTTTGTTAGGATAACCTACCCGGGTGAGGTTTTGCGGATGGCTGATTAAGACGGTGTCCAAAAGCTCACCCCGTGTTTTACTGTTTCTCATCCACATGTCGCTCGGGTGAGATCGAAAAAGTTCTATTAAGACGGGGCTTTAGACTGAGACTCTGAGAATCCACGTTTGTCTCAGAAACCATGAGTATTGCGAGAAGGCTCTCGAGACAGACATGTTTGTTTTGTGGTCTGTCTGTCTTATGGGTCATCGGCGTCGTGGTCTGTCGGTCTTATGGGTCATCGGCCTCGTGGTCTGTCGGTCTTATGGGTCATCGGCCTCGTGGTCTGTCGGTCTTATGGGTCATCGGCCTCGTGGTCTGTCGGTCTTATGGGAGCAGCGGCCTCGTGGTCTGTCGGTCTTATGGGAGCAGCGGCCTCGTGGTCTGTCGGTCTTATGGGAGCAGCGGCCTCGTGGTCTGTCGGTCTTATGGGTCATCGGCGTCGTGGTCTGTCGGTCTTATGGGTCATCGGCCTCGTGGTCTGTCGGTCTTATGGGTCATCGGCCTCGTGGTCTGTCGGTCTTATGGGAGCAGCGGCCTCGTGGTCTGTCGGTCTTATGGGAGCAGCGGCCTCGTGGTCTGTCGGTCTTATGGGTCATCGGCCTCGTGGTCTGTCGGTCTTATGGCTCATAGGCCTCGTGGTCTGTCGGTCTAATGGCTCATCGGCCTCGTGATCTGATGGCAAGTTGTTATATTGATATGGAAGTCTCACAGGGTTTAGCAAGATTAGCGTAGGGATTTATACTAGTATACGTTTAAATAATGCGTGTAACGAATCCCCTATAATATCAACGCCCTTCATGGCATCCATGTCACTACTATCTCCCCCCCCCCCCCCCTCCCTCACTTCGACTGTTTTGTTCTTGATATATGGTGATATGATTTAGTATTACCATTACAATACCCATAAATTACTACCAATATACATTGAATTCGGCAAATGTGTTGTTATTTACCATGAGCAGCATCCACGTAAAATCCGTCGCAATCTGAAAAAAAGGAAAAGGAAAATGAAACAACGGGCCTTCAAACCATTACATTAAAAAAACTTGCATCTGTAAATCAAATGAAATATTCTCAGTGTATTATGTACTGTCAAGTGTGGAAAACTTATAGAGATTGTATGTACCATGCGGTTATAAAGTCACATTCCTAGCTTGTAGCCCTAGGATGAATCATTCATCATGTTACCTGCTAGTCACCCACCTAATGCAATGCAATTATTAACACAAAGCATGCGGGGCTGTTTGGTTATTTACAATTATTGGTCAGAAAAGTACGCGCTTCATAATAGGTGTGATTATATGTCTACATTCATCCGATAGATATATACTTCTTATCACAGGGTACATCTTTATAAAGTCATTGGGGGAGAATGTTATAACAGATGAGAGCAGGGGGTGTTTTACAAAGATCCTAAGTCGTATTTGACTCTAAGTTGGACTTTAAAAATATGGAGAGCCATTGTAGCCTTAAAATAAAATATGTTCACAAGCTAAAATTCAAGTATTTTAGACTTTTATAAATTCCACATCAAGAACGTGAAATCTCCTTGATGATAGAAAATATGAATGGTTTGAATCAACATTTTACGCCTTTTAAAATAGTTTTTACAAAATATTTTCTTAGATGCTAACAACTTTCCGCATAATTGTTAAGTCCAACTTAAAAAGATGTTCAACTTAGGATCTTTGTGAAACACCCACGGGACATTTTGTCTCTGTTTATATCATGATGGGCCCCGACAGTCAGCCGGTTACTGTTTGTAACCGAAATAGCACCAGAGTTGGGCCATGGGATGTAAGAACAATGTCTATGTCAAGTGTTAAAGAGATGATGAGGAATAATTGAAACAAGATGGCCAAATTATGTCGTGAAAAAACAGTTAATTTTAGCAACATTTGTAAACCACTGGTATCGAATCAGAGAAAAAAAAAACATTTAAATTTCATTTGGGGACAACTGCTCCCCCTCCCAAAGGCCCCACTCCCTCTCTCCCCAAATACCGCCTCCCCCATCAGTACACCAGTATTCAGGGGTCCACGTCTTCTCACCCCTATGAAAGAACACCCACGCTTTCCCATCCTCTCACAATATTTCCATGATATGCGCGTATCGCTTTTAGCAAATCCTCCATTGATAAATAAAGGGGCATGCGGAATGTTTAGGAATTCAATTCCTGTCCCTTGTCCCCCCCCCCAAAAAAAAAAACTTTTTCATTTTGGGGCGGACGCTCCGTCCACCCCCCCCCCCCCCCCCCCTTCCAGCGCCTACATGGTTGTCCTCCATTAAAGGTCGCCCCCCTGATTAATTAAGAATAAGAGAAAAGTCTACTTACAAGTATATTTTCTTAGAAACACATCTCCAAATGAATCGTAGCGATAGTCCACCCGGCTAAGTATGTGGTATTCGCCATACTCCAGCCACTCACAGTATCGCGTCGCGATCGCCATGTGAAACTGACGACATGTAAACGATGTCTCTTCTAAACACAAGCGGGCGCACTTCTCCTCCATATCAAAAGTGAACTCCTCAAAGTACGTGGCATCATAACTAATCCCGGGAGGATCGGGGAACCTTGAATTGTACAAGTTTGGTATGCGTGTGAACTCGGATAGTATCGTAGAATTACCTGTATTGATGATAGAAATTATACTATTCAAACGGGAACTCAATCTTGAAGGGACCTTGTAACATTGTTCAGATGAGAGATAGTGGTGCTAAGGTAGTGACTTCTATGCTAGATGTACAATTAAAAATAATCTGAAAATTTGAGTGAAAACGGATCATTATTCATGGTACAAATTGGGAAAAACAGATCTGATCAATTCCTTAATTCTCCCAACTATATTATTCTACTTCTATTCTGCTACTTGTCAAAGCCTGTTCAGCATCAAGACAAGGACAATTTAATTACATTTTAGGTGAATGTAAATCGTCACAAAGCAATAAAATGGCTCTACATTCCATTCCAGACAGTTAAGTGTTGACAGATTTTTATAGCCCGTTTTATGTATTTTTCTCATGATAAAACGGTTGTAAAAATTCAAAAATGGTTGGGAGAATTTACTGTTAATCACTGTTAGAGGGTGCCTCACATCGACGCCTTCAAATAAAACCATAGATATCTTTGTGGTTTGAGAATTTGTTCAAAATTTGTTGCATGTCAGAGGGTTAGTAATAGTATAGTAGAAGGAATATAGTAAGTAACATTTTATACAAAAATTAAGCAAATTTTTTCATCAACCTTCAACAATGTTACCGAGTCACTTTGAGAAACTTATCATTTTATAAATGTATATTTTTTCTATTACTTTTATCTATCAAATCAATTATCGAACAAGACTAAAAAGGGTAACGAACATATCGATACAAATTTCGAAGGGGAATTTTGAAAATTAAAAGAGGGGTTTGGGGTCGTTGGGGTTAGTATTATGATTGTTGAATAGTTCGAGAGTAACACGGCTCGCAATGAGTATTTGCTAAAACGGGTAGGTGTACACAAATATATCTACTAAAACGCCGGGTAAATGCAGACAAAATATCAAAGATGAAAAGATACGTATGTTGTGAAATTGCGGCAATTGCGGCAATTACAGCAAAAGCTCATTCGCCACTAAATTGAGCTTGGTGTGTTAAATATTTTGTGATATATTGTATTGTGCCAAAGCAATGGTTTACTCACATGCAGGTATATGGCAGTAACTCCACTCCAATGAACCGTTACGATCCATGTAAAAACACCACGGCCTTTCACGATTATTAGGATTCCGACAATAATTGTTTTCAAATTCTGAAACAAGAGCAATAAAAAAAGTAAAATATGATAATTGTTGCGGACCAAACATCTGAAGTCTCTAGTTTGACAATGCCTATTTCTACTGACTCATAAATTGGTACGTTCTGTCTGTTTACGTGTAAATATTTAAATTCTATTTCAATCAAGGAACAATTTCTGCTAAAATTATTACATTTTATAATTATTGGTTTATGTTTTCAACAGAGGAAAGCACAAATGACCAGGTAAACCGCCCCGTATCCCCGTCAGTGTATAGTCTGCAGGCACAGACCCTAATTTGACACTTAATCAAAAAATCATTGTGCCTTGAGAGAAGTCTAGCCCAGCTACCTACTGGTTGTGTCAAGCAGCTACAGTACATGGCCTATGGTAGTCTTATAGTGCAGACTCACTTTTACGACTGACCAGGGTTTGTGCTTGCAGACTGGTCAGTGTACGCTGGGAGATGTGAGTTACATTGAAGGTTGAATAGAGAAGTGATCAATCAAGAGCCATAGGATTTTCAAAGTATCAAGAAAGTAAAGATAAAACTAGACTTTAATTCGTCACTTTGACGAATTAGGTGATACGTATGCTCATGTATAACATAATAAAGAACGCATTTTTACGATTACATATTTCGTTTACTACTCCCATTATGGTCTATCCATGAGTCAAGTTTCAACTGTAGGGCAGAGGGAAACAGACCAAGAGAATAAGAGGGACGCAAGGCAAAAGAGAGAGAGAGAGAGAGAGAGGGAGAGGGTGAAAGAGAAGAGAGATAGATAGATGCAGAGACAGACCAAAAAAGGAGAGGGGCAGAACATGAGAGGAGAAGTAAAAGAACAAGAGAGAGGAGAGAGAGAGATGCAATTGAGAACAATGCCTTCCAGATGACCATGATTGAAAGTGGTATAGCGCCCCCTTCAGGTATCCGATTGAGGATTGTTATATATGATAATTGACATGTCACCTTTGATTGAATTTTTGACTATGATAACGTCATGATAATGTTAGATAGTCTACATAAATTTCGTGGAAACTTGTCTCAGCTACAACATACTCAATAATAAACAAAATCCAAGCAGAAATATCGGCGATATTGCTCAAAACACAGGAATGTAGAATCCAGATTTGAGAAAAAGTCATCTCCCATAGGGATTAAAAGCAAAAAGTAATGGATTAAGTGAAAATAGGGTAATAATAAAGAAAATAGGGTTGTTTATTACATTATTTGCGATTCTACGTGTTTTAATACTCAAAGGAGATGGTACAGTGAAAGGTCAACAAATAAAATGAAGACAAATAATGTTGGAGACACCCGGACTCGAACCATGGATCTCGAGGATGGAAGTCGAGTGCGTTACCGATATACCAAAACATTTCCCATAGCGATTACACGTAAACGGGAAATGGAATTCTCAAATCCTACTTTGCAAGTGAAATATGAGCATAATCCCGGCATCTGATCGAAAAATGAAAGGCACACGTGTGATAGATTATTGTCTCAGCTACAACATATTCGAAGCTCAGCAAAAACTAAGTTAAGACAACGGAGATTTTGCTCGTGAAAGACAGGAAGGTAGAATCCAGTTTTGAGAAAAAGTCATGTCCCATAGAGAATACACGCAAAATGTGAAAAATTGACATGCCTCCTTTAATCGCAAACATACGCCATGATGCCTTTGTCAAAGTGAAAAATTGTGGACACTATATTTGTAGATAATTGTTTCAGCTAGAACATATCGAAATTTGAAAGAAAATCAATCAATATTTACAGAGATACAATCAATTTTCAAAAAATATGCTGACGTCATAACATCCAAATTAAATTTTTGAGTTTGGAGGACATTATGGTGACGTCATGAGTTAATTGAGGGTCAAATGAGACATGAAATCATATTTACGACTCATAATCTATCTAAATATAAAAAAATATTGGGAGTTCCTATCTATTCTGAAGGGTTACAAAGAATTTTGTATAGGCATCTTTTTGCTCATGTATTGTGGATAAAGATAACGCAGGTCCGCGCGCACTGTCAACTTTGACGGACGCTCATTGCGTTATTAAAAGATGAACAAGTTATCAAAATGCTTGGAAAAATGTGCCAAATAAGATGATAGAGAAAATTCGGCGATTCTAGGTTGCAAAATGCTAGTACGCGCAAAAAACGCGCGCGCATGCGCGTGTGCGTGATTTTTTGTCATATGCTCCAGATGGCCTGAAACGTATGCAAAAAAAATTTGGCATGATTTAGAGCATTTTAAATTTTTGCGCGCGCGTAAACGCGCGCACCTACGCGTACGCGCATTTTTACGCACATATATTGACCTCAAATTGACCGGACGGATATTGACCTTGATCATGACAAATATGAATGAGAAATGGCTTTCCGTTATGAAGATATGATCATAAGTTGATTTTAACAAAATGGCGTCTAGATGACGTCACGATAATTTTGAGTCTTTGAAAAGTCACGCAGTTCTAAGTTAGACTAAGATATATCATCATTGAAAGTTTCATGACAATGGCTTTATTCAGTCTTGAGATATCCTGCGAACAAAATCGAGGAAGAATAATAATAAATAATAAATAATAATAAATAAATAAATAAATAAATAATAAAAATCTTGACGAAATCAAAAGGTGATACGTAGACTTCGTTACGTATCACCTAATTAGAAATCCGTATACATAAAATGTAGAAAAATGTCGGTGACATTCTTGCCAACTTACATTCTTAAAGATGAGGGAAAAGAAACAGTCGTGATCGTGATTACATTGTGGAAGAAACTGATTATATCATACAAGTGGTTTGTGTATTGAAACTTTCAGCATGATAATACATTGTGCACTACACACAGGAATGGGTATATGGGACTACCCACAAATATTTGTGCGTAGTCATGTGGCATGAAAGTTGGTCCAAACCTTTATAGTAATTTCTCGTCAAACTGTTCATTTGAGGAGGTATAGAGAGTAATTCTTTTTCAGGAGACATTTTCTACTATGATATGATAATTATGAAAAGAAAGAGAAAGAAAAAGCTTGCAATTTTTTTCTTTCTTATTTACAATTGCTGAACTATCTCTTTAATACATAGCTTGTTTTGGGTTACGCGTCTTGGTTATTTAATCTGATGAGGCTTCACTATTTCTTTGACGAAAAGGAAAAATTAACAGGATTCCAGAAGTTTTGAGATTTACTTGAGAGAGACAGAAATAATCGTCCTAAATTTGTTGTAATTTTAGTATGCAATTACTATACATCTAATAAGCTGAAGGAGACAATTGCAACATCACTTTGAAGGCACCCTTCTGAATACTACTTGTCACATCTGGCTGGAGAATACAGCAAGCATACGGGACGTGAAGATAATATGTAATCTCACTAAATGCAATCAACCTTTGTGTTAACTAGGCGAAACGCTGGAGAAACTTATGAAATGCTTCATAAATATTGAGTCTCTGATGACCTGTGACTAAATTTAAATTTAGAGACGAAGAGACAGAATGCCTAATGGAAGCATCCTGGCACCCCGGACCCAAGAAGACTAAAAGAGCAAGTTCACTATGGGAAGCTCATCATGATCCCATGATTCGACAATAAGGGTATCGTCTACATTCAAGTTTCCCTCTGGCCAGACAGTCAACAAAAATTATCATTCGGAGGTTTTGATGTAGTTCAAGGAAAATAGTTCATGGCCAGAGTCCCCAGCTCTTCATACCAGGTCGATGGCCCTGCAACAGACCATGAATCAGACCACAAAATTCCATCCTGGTAATCAAGTACCTAATAATAATAATAATAATAATAATAATAGCTCGTTCCTATATAGCGCTTTTCAGGACCGCAGGCCCTCTCAAAGCGCTTTACAGATATATATTTTTACCCTGGTCATCGGATTCAGGCTTATCAGCAAAAATGTTTGCATATTCTCCACTCCCTGGGGAGCATTCTAGCCAGGCATCATTTTAACAAGCGCACACTTGCTAATCTATCTAAGCACATTATCTTTCACATTCTACCGGGTACCCATTTAACACCTGAGTGGAGAGTGGCAAATGTAGAGCAAAGTTTTGCCGAAGGACATTAGTGCCGCGGCGGGACTTGAACCGCGGACCTTGTGATTCACAGTCTGTTGACATATCCACTCGACCACGACACCTCTACGTCCACTTGACATAGATGGACATCAAGACTGTCCCTCACCCTCCCCTCCCGTCTAGGCTTTGCTCAATGTGACTCTTAGTTGCTCCCCAAGCTGAAGGAGAACCTCATGGGCAGTCGATTCGAAGATGGAGATGAAGATGAACAAGGACCATGGACACTTTCACTTTGGAGCACTTCCAGGAGTCTGCGAGAAGTGGCTGGAGCGCTATAAGTCACTCTGAATTATAATATAATTTTATATATATTTTGAAATGACTAAATGTGTCTCCTGAAGAAGTCTCAAAACTGCTGTACATGATATACTCCATTGCTTATTATACAGCGGAGTATTTGTTAGATAGACGGGGGGCATGTCTGTGGATGGATGCCAATAATAATGTTAATAATACCTGTATCGGGATACATGGACACATTCCAAGATTCAACTATGACGTCATTCCAACGGAGGCACCGGTATCCATTCTCGGTGTACCGGGCTATCCCTCGATAGTCTGTCCCGTTTGTGCTCGGAGGGTAGCACCCAGCGTGTTCTGTGGATACAAACAAACAACATCCAGGGGCCTGTTTCATAAGACTTGTTATCGATAACATGTGCTGAATTCCCATGACAAATTTGCTCTAAGCCAATCAGATGCCACGATTTCAGTAGGTTATAACAGTAGCTTGTAACTTGTTATTGATATCACAAGTCTTGTGAAACAGGGCCCAGATTAGTATTACTTCATAAAAGTTTGTCAGCGTTGATACAAAGCTCAATCAGGATATTGTCGGTAAAATTGCGCTGCCGTCGGGAAAAAAGATAAAAGGGGGAGGGGAAAAAAGAGAGGGAAAGGGAAAGAAAAGAAAAAAGAAAAGGAAAGAAAAGGAAAGAAAAGAAAAGAAAGAAAGGAAAAGAAAGGAATGAAAGGAAAAGAAAGGAAAGAAAAGAAAAGAAAAGAGAAAAAAGAAAAAGAGGGAGGAGAAGAAGAAAGGAAAAGAAAGAAAAGAAAGAAAAGGAAAAAAATAGAAAACGGAAACAAAAGAAACGGGGGGAGAGAGGAAAGAGGGGGAGGTAAGAGCCTGAGAAAGGAGGAGTGGGAGTAAAAGAGAGAAGGGGGTTGTTGGGTGGAGTCGTCTCGTAAAGGGAGCAAGAAAGACACGGGTAAATATGTTGCTGTGTCGGGTCAGCTGTGTCGGTATTCTTGCTCGATCCTCGTGTACTATATCAATGCAGAAGTTTGATGTCGGTGAGATGTATATTGTCGGTCGGCCGACAAGTTTTTTTCCCTACGAACTGTGACTTTTTATCCGCTGTGATGACTTTGAGAGTGACTACAACTACAATACTTGTATTTTCGCGAAGTTTCACTTTCCTGTAATATCAGCTAAAGAAATCAGAGGTTTAAAATTTTCGGGGAAACTAAATTCAAACAAGGATTAAGGATCAACAACGGTACGACGAATCGTCTTCCTTTCTCTATATTTTGATGAAACGCCAAAGCTTCCGCGCTTCGCGCAAGAGGGGAAAACTGAATTCAGACAAAGAGGGCTTATTAAGAGTCAAGAACGGTACAACGAATCGTCGGTTCTAGGACAATTACCCCCTGGGCAATCACCCCCCGGAGAATTACCCCCCGGAAAACTACCCCCAAAGGACAATTACCCCCTGGAATATTACCCCCCGGAGAATCACCCCCCGAGGACAACTACCCCCCAAGGACAATTACCCCCCGGAAAATTACCCCCCGGAGAATTACCCCCCGAGGACAATTACCCCCGAGGACAACTACCCCCGAGGACAATTACCCCCTAGGACAATTACCCCCCCGAGGACAATTACCCCCTAGGACAACTACCCCCCGAGGACAATTACCCCCCGAGGACAATTACCCCCCCCCCCCCGATGATAATTACCCCCGAGGACAATTCCTCGAATGACAATCACCCCCCCTCCCGAGGACAACTACCCCCGTGGACAATCAGGATTCAATAGCAAAAGACGATCTGACACATTGAGAGATGGCTACGAGCCCCTAAGATCCCCTGCATGAACCCATATTCTTTCAAATACTATATCTCGTTGTCTTCCTCATTACTACACATTTATGCAACGCCAGTGCGGTTGCTCATTTCCACGAAGGATATAAGTTTTAGGTAATTGTCCAGCGCTTTTCAAAATGCATAAAAATACATTTCTCTGGAGCAGCGTTATTTTAATTTGTTGTTAGTCACGGTACCCTCTTAAGAAATGAAAAGTTTCTTCCAAATCCCAAAGTCTTTGCAGATTATTAATTTTGCATGACTCTGGCTCTCGTCAAGTGCTATGCACACACGTATGGGCACATTTAAGAATAAAAAGGAGAAGACATTTTCAAACTGGTAAAAAATTAGTTTGTAATCCACACACTAGAAACTATTTAAAGTACTGTATGCGGGCACCTTGCCGCCAAATGTACATAAATAAAAAGTGATATATTCGGTCATGATCTTGATACACGAATTTGAGGATATTCGGGCCTCTCGTTGCCCTTATTATTTGCCTTGCATTTGGATGCTAACACAACTAACACAAAAACAATTACAAGTAATAAATTCTCATGAAAGTTATTTCATCATCATCAGTGATAAACCAACAATACCGAAATACATAACGCCTTGAAGTATTCTATTCAAAGAAATCATTTAAAGGCATATTCCGTCATCATTCCACTTTAGTATCTTCAAAATTTTATTTTCTCATGTAATTACATATTTTAACCGTTTCTGGTATTTGATATTTTTACAAAATCAACGTTTTCCAAATCATTCTCTTGCGGCACCCCGGTTGAAAAACGCTGTGCTGGCGTTATAAAATCAAATGAGATGAATTACCAGAGAGCGGATATTTATTTTCTTTTGACATGGCACCGTACATATAACTTGAAGGCAATTTATATTACAAAATAATTTGACGTACACGAAAACATATTATACTTCAGCATGACAACAGAAATAATAGATAACGTGAAGAAAACCTTAATTTTGGATCATGGCATGGATGAGGGCCCATTATACATACGAAGACAAATACACGATCAGCTGATTAAAAAAGTTACAGAGGATGCATAAAGGAAATCTTATATCCTAATTTCTTTGTTGTGCCATTGATGGTGAGAGAGGCTGTAACGCGTACTCATCTGCGCGCAATGTATTGTTCAATTTCTAAGAAATGTAATTTCTGTTATTTACTCGGTAGCAAAACTACAGGGGAATTGGGCAACCTCCACCCCCCATATCGAATTGAATAATTTAAAATGACTGAAATGAACTTCATAAATAACAAAGAAAATGAAGATTTATGCAATTTTCTGTAAATAGCAATTTGGAGAGAAGCTTGCGTTATACGTCACAGTGTTATAAATTCCACGGGGGTGATTGTCATTGGGGGTAGTTGTCCTCTGGGGGTTATTGTCCTCGGGGGGGGGGGGAGGGAGTTGTCCTCGAAGGGGGGAGGGGTAGTTGTCCTCGGGGGGTAATTGTTCTCGGGGGTTGTTTTCCTGGGGGATAGTTGTCCTCGAGGGTAATAATAATAATAATAATAATAACGTTTTATTTACCCAGGGTAGCCACTTCAGTTATGAAACTGCTCTTCCAGCGGGCCCTGCATAACATAATATGTTATTACTACCCTTCTCCAATCTAATATGCTGAGCGCCTAGCTAGAAGGCAGAAGGTCCCATTGTTATAAGTCTTTGGTATGACTCGGCCGGGGTTCGAACTCACGACCTCCCGTTCATGAGACGGGCGCGGCTCTAACCACTGAGCCACCATGCCCAGTAGTGTCCATGGGGGGTAGTTGTCCTCGGGGGGTAATTGTCCTCGGGGGTAGTTGTCCTCGGGGGGTAGTTGTCCTTGGGGGGTAATTGTCCTCGGGGGGTAATTGTCCTCGGGGGTAGTTGTCCTCGGGGGGTAATTCTCCGGGGGGGAATTTTCCGGGGGGTAATTGTCCTTGGGGGGTAATTGTCCTCGGGGGGTAATTCTCCGGGGGGTAATTTTCCGGGGGGTAATCGTCCTACGGGGGTAGTTTTCCGGGGGGTAATTGCCCGGGGGTGATTGCCCAGGGGGTAATTGTCCTGATACGCGAATCGTCTGCTTTCTCTAATAATTTAAGGAACCATCAAAGCTTCCGCGCTTCGCGCTAAAGGGGGAACTGAATTCAAACAATTAGGGCTTATTAATAGTCGAAAACGGTACAACGAATCGTCTTCTTTCTCTAATAATTTAATGAAACGTCAAAACTTCCGCGCGCGGGAGGGGGGAAACTTCATTCAGACAAGGATTAAGACTCGAGCACGGTTCAACGAATCGTCTACTTTCTCTAATAATTTAAGGAAACGTCAAAACTTCCGCGGGAAAACTGAATTCGGATAATGATTAAGAGTCGAGAACAGTAGGCCGACACCGAATCGTCTGCTTTTTCTCATAATTTAATGATATGTCAAAGCTTCCGCGCTTCGCGCGGGAGGGGGAGAAACTGAATTTAGACAAGGATTAAGAGTCGAGCACTGTTCAACGAATCGTCTACTTTTTCTCATAATTTATGAAACGTCAAAACTTCTGCACGAGTGGGAGAACTGAAACAGAATTCAGATAAGGATTAAGAATAAAAAACAGAGCACCGAATCGTCTGCTTTTTCTCATAATTTAATGAAACGCAAAGCGCGGAAGCTTTGACGTATCATTAAATTATGAGACGGAGGGGGGCGAAACTGAATTCAGACAAGAATTAACATCGAGAACAGTACAGCAAATCGTCTATTTTTTATAATAATTAAATGAAACGTCAAAGCTTTCGCTCTTCGCGCGGGAGGGGGGGGAACTTCATTCAGACAAGGATTAACAGTCGAGATCGGTACAATAAATCGGCTTCTTTCCTAATAATTTAAGGAAACGTCTAAGCTTCCGCGCTTTGCGCGGGAGGCCTAATACCGACACCCCCTAATGAGCGCGCCTCGCGCAAGATTTAAGTGATTCGCTTGCTCACTACCGCCCCTCCCTAAAATAAGATCCTAGCTCCGCGCTTGCATTAAAATATATAGCTATGATGTTGACAAAGTTGACGAAATAATTCGTATATTTATGTCGTCGAGGAAAATGATCATTTGCGCATAAGCAAGTACTATAGACAGTACATAGGAAAAACAATTTTAGCCTTCGGCCCCGGGTTCATAGGGTTAAATTTGTATATATTGGGACATTTAATTTTGTCGGTAATTGGTGGCTACTTGGCCTCTACACCCCCCCCCCCCCCCCCCCCACTGAAAAAGGTCTAGCGACGCCCCTGAGCTCAACGTCCATATATCAAGAGCCTCGCCGTGATTTTCTAGATTAAACAACGATGTTAATCTGATTGAAATAAGCAGAACACTAGAAAGAGAGATGGCACTGAAAAGGGGGTTCATTAATAATTATTTATTTAGTAGTTATCCTGAACTGCTCCAACAACGCATGTACATGATGCTTTAATTTAGATTTAAACCAACGCGATAATCATAAGTTGGTTGGTTGGTTGGTTGTACTTGGCGGCTAAGAAGCAGGAGTATGCTTGATTATGCTTGTAAGCAACCATTTTGCATCTCATGCAGATTTAACAAAAAATATATTTTTTAATCGTTTTCAAATTTATATGAGTTATTTCTATTGGTTAAATTAAATCCAACATAATCAAAACAAGGAGGAAAGAGAAAGGGACAGAGAAAGTGAAAGAAATAAGCAAGGTAGTAGTGAAAATAAGGGAAATCAGAGAGAAGAAAATTAAAACAAATTAGGTCTCAATAAATAATAAGGAGGAGGAAAATAAAGGACTCAGATGCGGAGAAAAAATATAGGAAGCACTTTATCAGGAAAAAAACAAGATAATGTGTAAAAGGCTTGCCCTACTTACCATAACAAGGAGGTACGTCACATGTAAAAGTATCTTCTAATTCGGTAACACAGGACGGTAAAAGTTCACCCTCCGTGATTTCACAGACATTTTGAAGAACTAAAGTTCATGTGAAAAAGAAAGAATGTCTCAAATATTACTTCCATTAAATTATTCTTTTTTAATTTATTACAAATGTCAATTTGTGCCGTCAATCTTCAATTAAGATACAGAGAATATAACAAACAAATCGGCTTAGAAATGTACATGTAGTTCCAAAAGGTGTACTTTCAATTTTGCTGTGTTTTTTAATATATAATATATATCAGACTATAAAACAGCATAAAGATCAATTGTTTCAAAATATTGGAGTGATTTAAATGGTTGGGGACCTCCTATTTTACTCAAATTGACTTTTCAAGCCCACTCCACTGATAATGTTAAATTAAACGTGTACTTAATGCCTTTAACATGTATTCATGCAAACTATGTTTTGCAAATAGAACATAGTTAATTGAAAATTGTCAATTTGAAAATTAATGTAGGCTAAATCATATTGATAAATGATTTGTAAACTTAAACAAAGGCTATCATAATTCTAAACAAGTTCGTAATATTTAAATATGTACATGTCTTACCATTTTCCCTGCAAGGTAAACCACATTCAAAGTTATCGCAGTAATTAGTTGAATTTCCGTAGTACTCTCCTCTATTTAACAAGCTAATGCAATCCCACTGGGCCAGAACTGAGAAAGACAAATATTGAAATCATAAAATAGTATGCTTGTACGCTTTTACAGGTAATGGGTGAAAAGGTAAGTGTGTGTCCGCCATTTAGGATAATGTTTTCCTCAATCACCAATCATTATCTGTTACTACAAAGTTACGCCCAAGTTAGGCTTATAACTGCCAAAAAGTTGATGCGACATATTATAATCACCATTATGTTTCCCAACTTATACCGAACAGTTTAATCTTTAAAGGGCAATCCAAACTTTGTAATAAGTTCAGTTAAATGAAATCAGGAAAATAAGAGAAACGGAATGGCGAAGGTTTGAAATAAATCGGGTCACTAGTAAGGATGCTATGCGTATTTTATATATGAAATCACTAACCCTATACAGTGCGTCCCCCAAAAAACTATACACTTTTGAAATGGCTGCTGAATAAACGACATATGCTTCTGGGGGACAAGTTTTATATTGTATGGAAAGCTCATAAACTCATAATTAGAAAATGAGGAGTTATGTATACTTTAATTTAGGTAACGAGATGATGAAATATTTTTAAAGTGTATTGTGCTTCCATTTGTACTGTATACCATTCAATGATAACGGGCATCAAAGAACCAAATATAGATTCCCCTCCTCATCGAAACTAGGAATCGAATACGAACGCTTTTTTTGATTAAAAAGCAGAATAAAAATTTTTTAAAAGGGAGGCTTAGAATTGACATGACATCTCTAACATAATCTACATATACACACATAAAGATTTTTTAGTCATGCTATGAAACTGCGTCAAAATAAGAGATATAAATTAGCATTCCAACAAATGCTCGGATTCGTCACAAAAGAGATTTATGTATTTCTACCAATTATGATATTAACATGGTTTATGTTGCGAATAAAGTCATAGCTTTTCTTAACAAAACTGAAATGTGGTATCATAAAATTGTTTGCATCACCCACATCAATATTATTATCATTGTTTTTATATTCTTATTATTATTAATTAACAAGAGCAACAAAACAACAACAACAATAATAATAGTAATAATTATATCAATAATAATAACATTAATGACAAAATCGTCCCTATTTTCACGAAGTGACGGTAGTGGGGAAAATCGTAACGCAAAGTGTATGCAATTTTCATTCACTACCGTCACTTCGTGAAAACAGTGACGAAATATTTAAAATAATAACAACGGCAAAATGATATCAACAACAACAACAAAAATGATGATGATAATAATGAAAATAGTAATGATGATAATAACAATGCTTATAAAAAACAATCCCTCAAAAAACAACAATACTATCCAAAATAACAATACTCTCTTTCACCATGGGAAACCTCATCAGCATCAATTTGTTTTACTTCCCGACGGCCCTGGAATTATTTTAACCCCACGGATTGTCAAGTAAACAGCTGGGTCGAGGTTGGCAAATATGGATTATTGTCTTGCTAAAGGACGTTAGTGCCGGGCCTGGATTCGAACCTTCAACCTTGGATTAAGAGTTACAGATCCTCTTTACCACGGTACCTCCAGGTAGTTGATATTATAGCCATTATAATTTACTAGAATTTTTCCAAACCAGAAATACACTTGCCTTCTCATCAAGGCCAAAAATAGGTACAGAAAATGTTAAAGTTTGTATAAAGTTCCCCATACGACAGTGTAATAATACATGTATTATCGAACAGATTCATCGTATTATTTGCGTTAAAAAGTTTAACCCGGCTAAGAGTGAAACAGGCATTATAGGCAAAATCACCCTAGAGAAGATTAACAACGCAGTAAGATCAGCGACAGGAGTAAACCAGTGGAGGAGCTCAATGGCTGTGGTAGACTGGTTTAAAAGCATCAAAGAAAAGGACAAGCACACCTTCATAAGCTTCGACATAGTTGACTTCTACCCGTCCATATCGGAAAGCTTACTCAAGAAATCATTGGACTTTGCCAAGGAATACACACACGTCACTAGACGAGATATCGAGGTCATTATGCACTCGAGGAAATCTCTGCTGTTCGACAAAGGCAAACCATGGAGGAAGAAGGATAGCAACGGCCTCTTCGACGTCACTATGGGCAGTTTTGACGGAGCTGAGATATGTGAGTTGGTCGGCTTATACATCCTAAGTATCCTATCGAAGGACTATGGCAAAGATGGAATCGGGCTTTACAGAGACGATGGGCTAGCAGTCTTCAAGAGCATCTCCGGAAGCAGAGCCGATCGAATTAGAAAAAGCATAACGAGAACATTCCAAAAACTTGGCCTAAACATCACAATCGTTTGCAACCTAAAAATCACCAACTTCCTCGACATCACCTTCAACCTGAGTGATGGCAAGTACTACCCTTACAGGAAGCCGTATGACTGCCCAATGTACATCCACAAGCTATCCAACCACCCACCATCCATCATCAAGAATCTCCCAGCATCAATAAGCCGCCGAATAGCAGACATCTCATGCGATGAAGAGACTTTCAACGAAGCTTCCCCTGCCTACAACGATGCCCTAAAAGCCAGTGAATTTGCTGAAACCCTCACCTACACGAAGGAGCGCCCGACAAGGAGAAAGCAAAACCGGAAACGAAACATCATCTGGTTCAACCCTCCATTCAGCAAAAACGTCGCAACCAACATCGGCAGATCGTTCCTGAGGCTTGCTGATAAGCACTTCCCAAAGAAATCAAAATTCAACAAGATATTCAACAGGAACACACTCAAAGTCAGCTACAGCTGCATGCCGAATGTCGCCAGCATCATCAAGGCGCACAACAAGCAGGTTTCATCCACGGACGACCACACCAAGCCGAAAACCTGCAACTGCCGGAAAAAGAATGTGTGCCCCCTACAAGGAAACTGCCAGGCCGGCAGTATCATCTACAGTGCAAAAGTCTCCGGCCCAGAAAGCCCTAAGCAATATATTGGACTCACCGAGCCCCCGTTCAAGCTGAGGTACGGCAACCATCTACAGTCCTTCCGACATGAGAAGCACAAAAACAGCACAGAACTCTCTAAACACATCTGGCAACTCAAACACCAAAGCACCCCATTCACCATCGAGTGGTCGATCTCCAGCAAGGCCCAGGCGTACTCCAGCGAAACGAAGAAATGCAACCTGTGCCTAACTGAGAAGCTTGCCATCATCAACGCCGAGAAACAGACACTCCTGAACAAAAGACCAGAACTCATCTCCAAATGCCGCCACGAAAACAAATTCTACCTCTGCAACTTCAAAAGAGACTATACTTAATTAAATATATATATATTTATGCACTAGCACCTTGGTGGAGACTATTTTGCGATACCCCCTCCCATGTTTAAAATTCCATCGCAGTACCTGAACAATCACAATAGCCCCTTCACCCATGAGTAAATCTTATTGTTTTGTATTGCATTGTATTCCTTATTTTGAACGTATTGTAGATTGTAGAGTAATCATGCTATCAGTTGCCTGATGATCGCTCGCAAGGCGTGAAACTCGGAGTTGCAACCATGCTCCATTAGTCTGCCTTATCCAAAATATATATATATATATATATATATAACTGTATGCATGTACATGTGTTTGCATATATATATTTGTCTCATCTGAATTCTACCTGTCAAAATTCAATGGACACAATATTCACAACTTCGCCGTTTCTAACCCATGGTTAGCATTTCCTTGCGCCACGTTTGTTATTATTGATGTCAATAGTGTGAAAATCTTCAGTAGATCAAATATAAAAGAAAATACATTTCAGCACTAAAGTATAACACGATGCTTCTGCTGTCATTATTAGTGAATGCATCCAAGTAAATAGACCTAGCAGAATAACAACATATAATACATATCTAGGAGAAATTAGCCGTGGCTTACAAGCCGACGCCCTTCAAACCATTGACTGAAAGGGGATTAGACCGCTTGGTTTAGCTTGTATAGAGCGCTGTAACCTTGTGTATCTGTTTTGACGAGATTTCTATGCATCATTTGTCGGCAGAACTTCAAATTTTCATTTTGTGACATATTCGAATAGAATTAAACATGCTGTCAGTTCTCAAGGTTACTTTTCGAGGATTAAGTTTCAGAAAGCTTCCTCTTTCTCAATACGAAATATCTCTCTTGGACATTTTGATATCATTTCACTAGTGGCTTTTTTCTGTCTACTGTTTGTATCTAGAAGCTAGTTGAAATGAATGACCTACATCCATGGAGAAATAATACTTTAATTATATTTCTAGTGCTGCTGCTTCAACTTACATGTATGATCCCTCCTTTTTGGTAATATAATCGACCCTACTGATACTACACATGTTGAACCCTTAACTACTAATGAATGTGAATATATTGATGATTTAGACCCTGATGATAATTTTTATACATTTGATAGTCCTTCCATATATTGGCTTTGTGATGAATTTAATAATGAGAAAAATATAAATGAAAGAAAAAAAAAACTGTTTTAGTATGCTTCACTTTAACTTAAGAAGTCTATACCGAAATGTTGATGCTATTAAGTCTTTTAACTCCCAGCTTGATTTCAAATTTTTCTATTTATGGTTTCAGTGAGTCATTGATGCATGATAACATGCCATTGTTATTTAATTTAGAGGGATATTGTTTTTATCATAATGATAGACAGGACAGAAGAGGTGGCGGTGTTGCCTTACTCATTCATACCTCATTTGATGTTAAGATAAGAACAGTTATATGTTTACCAAATGATCTTTGTGAATCTTTATTTATAGAAATTGACCCTCATATATCTATTCAGAATTTCAATGATAGTATTGATGAATGTCTTGAAAAAATACCGTGCGAAAAGGAGAATATTTACATTATGGGCGATTTGAACATAAATTTTCTTAACGTTAGTTCCAATAATTATATCAATAAGTTTGTGAACATTCTATACGATAACTCATTCCGTCCCTTAATAGACAAGCCCACGTGAATTACCACAACATCTGCAACTCCTATCGACAATATCCTAACCAATGTACACGCTTCTCCTATTCAGTCTGGGATT